TAGCTACTACAAAGTTGAGCACATCTGAAAAAGTGAAGTAAAGGATCATTATCTAGTCACAATTCATTGGTAGCTAATGAAAATAATCTGCATGCATGGTGAATGTATAACCAATAACGAATCACAGACATGTTTACGATTTGAGCCCCAACATTCATTACTTTAGCGACTTACTTGTGCTTCAAAAACACCCTCGTTCCTGCATAGTCATATCGGTTAGGGCCCATCCAGCGGTATTTTTCACTCTCAGTAATGACATCTCCATAAAATCCATACCTACAAATATTGAACATATGAATTTTAGAGAAAATTGCTGATGAGAAATTCAAAATGAGAACCAAATTAGATAATTTTCCATTTCATCACCAGTCATTTATTTAGACATTGTAATGAAAAATACCCGGCAAAAGACGCTGCATAGCGCACAAAAGGTTCAACCTTCGATGTAGATTTTATTTTCCACCTTACAACTTGGGCTACATCAAGGCACACCCTTTTTCCAAGGACAATGTGAAATGTAGATGTTATAGGATCTCGAGTCCCAGTTGTGCTGACAAAAATAGAAGTGAGCACCTTACATTAGGCCAAAGAGAACAATATATGAGTAGGGTATGGTAAAATGGTCAATTTCTGTTCAAGTTTAACATCAACTTGGACAATATTTTTGGTAGCAGTAAAAATGCAGAGAAGTACCACATCACAATGGCATCAGTTGAGCCAGCAGGAATAATTCCAAATCTAAAATGCTCATTGGGGAGGGAAAACTCAGAATCTTGATCTGTTGTGTTTTGAAAAGAAGAAAAAAATTATTCAAGTAATAGGCATTGGTAAATATAAACACAATATACTATTATAAAGTAATATCATGGTTTGTTAAATACAAAATAAATCAGCAAACAGGAGAAGAAATATCTCAATTCCTGTGATTTTCTACCTCCAGTGATATGCATGAAAACAACCTGTTACAAATATAAATCAAATTTAAACCTGACTCGTATGGAAATAAATTATTATGGTACATACTGATATTTGGGACTCCAGAGCTATCATAACTTGTGCTTGGGAGGAGAGGAGACTGCTGCTCATTGTTCTCAGAAGAAGTTCCAATAACTCTTGCATTTGGATCACAAAAACAGAAATTGTCATCACATGTAGCAGACTGAAGAAAACCCGAAGGAGTTGGTGGGTATGGAGCTTTATGCCTTGATAAAAGAAATCCATTAAGAATTTCATTGAAAAAACCATCACCACCCTGGAACCGAATCAATTAGCAAGTAATCAGTAATCAGGAACAAGATGCAAAAAGTTCAAAAATCTTTAAAAGGGAAAATGTGATACATTAACCTGTATTAACATTTTATGTAATACAGTATAAAGCTCAATGAACAACCAATTCCCTAAATCTTTTTATGTTACAGAGATTAAAGTCAGTCAAGGGAAGTTATAACTTACAACAGCTATAACTCCATCATATGAAATAAGCTCCTTGATGCCTATAGATGCCATCACATCAAATGCGTGTCCTGCCCTTTGGGTCACAATCACCTGATGAAGGGATGGAAAACAATATTTAAGAAGGATCACTTAGCGCATTAAATATAATTGCATGTGATCTAGTGGTATCACTTCAAGGGAATTTTATAATCAAGGATTAGAGCAATCTAGAACTCTACCTTTGTTTTCACTTTAGCCCGGGAGAATATAGAAGCCACAGAATCCCAAGTTTTGCAGCCATTTCCCTTCCCACTCCTTGGATGAACAAAAACCTAGTCAATCAGAAAAAAAAATTTCTGGAAAAGAATTATAATACCACTTTATGTCAATTTTGATCAGCCAACTAAAGAATTCAAGATCCAAACATGATCAACGATATAGTGGTTAAAAAAAACTACCAAACATACCAGAAGATTCTTTGGTCTCCCCTGTTCTAGGGCCAGAGAAGCATTAATTTGATTAACCCACATCTGACATGTTTGGAGATCCTTATGACCGAATGTATATGCAACCAGGACCCGAAGAGAAGGGAGAGTCTTTGACCTCTGGAAACCATGTACTGTAAAGCGGTAAATCTGCATGTATGTAAACACAAAAACACATCATTATCTTATGGAGGAGTGAAAGCACACAACCAAGAACAGGAATTGAACAAACCTCCGAGTAGTGACCCGAAAGGCATTTTCTAGCATTTGAAATGTTTGATCCATGAATCAAACCATAGTCGATCAACTCAACAGCATACACATCAGAAAATTTGATCTCGGTTGCAACCTTTGATTTAATGCCCAAACAAGTTGAGTCATCCTGATAAATTAGACAAAGAGAAAAAAATTCAAATGTTCATACTTCAACCTTATCATTTAACAATTATGAATGCTTTTTCAACCTATGATGCAGTCTCCCAAATAAAGAAAATAACAAAAGTGATCATAAACTACTATTTCAATACAAAATGATCATAAACTACTATCAGACCAAAAAAATATCATAAACTTCTATCAGAAATAAACAAATAAATAAATAAATAATTCAATCTGATCTAATATACACAATTAAGAACATATTCAATCTAGAGTTGATAAAGACGAACCTTAAGTATCAAAGAAATCATTTTTAAGATAAAAGGAGAGAAGAGAAAGTAAAATTACATTATCCAGTGGCTCAACCGATTTCCAAGACAACCCATCTGAGTTGAAGGTAAGAGCGACTTCCCCAACGTGGTCCAAGGAAAGGGTGCAGCTCAAAGACGAGGCCTGGCGATCGAACTGTGCGGGTGGGAGAGATTCCTCTGTTTGCATACAATCATCTACATCTCGTTCCATTCACGAGGTTTGATAATAATTAAAGATGATATTCAAGGCCAAGAAACTGAAGATTTTTTCAGATGGAAATCAAAAAACCGGTGATCGGGTTATGGGCTTTGGAGGAAATGCGTGAAAGTCGCTTGTTTTTCTTCTTTTCAATCCGAATTCCCCCAGCGAGGTGGAATTCGCGCTTTTATTGACCAAAAGTAGCCAGAGATATTTGAGTTTGACCCAAAAATAAAAGCTAGAGATTATCTAATTCTAACTTTTAATGACTTTTAATGAGTTTAAAAGTTTAAAGGTATTTAATTGTGACTTTTAAATAGTTTTAAAAGTTTAGTTTTATTCAATTGTGAATTTTAAAGAGTATTTAAAAGTTTTGAGGTATTCAAAATGTTAATGACTTTTAAAAACTTAGTTAAATAAATGACTTTTCATCTATATATAAAGCAAAAGGCAGAAAATAGTGAAACATTCACAATACCAGAAAATGCCCTTGATTAATTCAAACATTAAGAATTGAAATTATTAATTAAATGAGGATAATGTGGTAAATTTAATTTTTTTAATTAAAAATTAAAAAATTAAAAAAAAATCAGATAATATGTCCTATTTTTATGGAACATAACTATCGATGTTATTTTTTTTATATTCTAAAAATAAAATAAAAGAGCAAAAAGAAAACCAATTCGCATGTGCCAAGGGGCTAGTTACTTTTAAAGCTAATTCTTACTACCAAAAGTCGTGCTAATTTACACCAAAACTTTATGAAAGTATTGGGAAGCTAAGAAGATAGAAACGAAACGTCACCAATTTTTTCTTCCCTCATTATATATCAAGCAAGGAGATCTTTTTTTCTTCATGATTAAGGCTCCACTTTGGTATCCCATCTTGTCAGTGGCGGAGCCACTCCTAGACCTGGAGTGGCCCTGGCCCCCCCAAAATTTTATCTCTTCTCTATTATATTATATATAACATATAGAATTTGTAATAAACTACTCATAATTTAAGTTAAAGTTCCCTCTAGAACAAATTAGACATGACTAAATTAGAAACATTTTGCTTTAAACATGTAATTATTGAATACTTAGGTATTTTATATACTTGTATTTTTTACTTCGGCCCTCCTAACTTTACAATTCTAGCTCCGCCCCTGCATCTTGTCATCCACTTCCTTCAGGTTAGTAAAAAATCTTGAATGTTTTTCTTCTCTTCTCATCAACAATAATGAGCATTGGAATTTAAAAAGGAATTTGTATTATGGTTTATTCACCGTCATTGAAATGAATCATGGCTAAGCTCACTATAAAAATAAAGAATCATGGCTAGTTGAACGCCAATTATTTTCTTATGGTACATTTTCAAATGTACTTTGTCATTTTTATCATTTTCTAATGTTAAGGAGAACTTTTTCTTTGCTTTACTACGTAATTGTTTTTTTTTTTTTTTTTTTTTTTTTTTTTTTTTTTTTTTTAATTTTTTTTTTTCCATGTATGCCGACTAGTTAATTCAACATATTAAGATAAATGCTAATCGTAAAATAAATATAAAAATAAGTATTTAAAAGTCTATAAAACTCTGACAAAAATGTATGAAAGTTTGTCACTTAACTTTATAAAGTATGTAAAAGTTATTAAGAATCTATCAACTTTAGGAAAGTCACTCACTTAAAAAATAGTCTTTAAAAGTTAGAATTGGACACCACCCCTAATTTTTTTTTTTGTTTTTCTTTTTGTTTTTTTTTTTTTTTTTTTTTTTTTTTTTTTTGGGTGGGTTCTTTCTTTCTGTTTGATGCCAAAAATCTAGTAATATAAAATAAAATTCATGAAAAAGAAATCAAATAATAAAATATTTTAAAAATTGGAATTGCAAGTTGAACGGAAGGAGGTGAGGTCAAGGAGATAATCAAATCGTTGACCTTCATAGAAACGACATGTCGTTATTTACAAGGAAAGGAGAGATTGTAGTCTGTTTAGGTATGTCCCGCTAAGACTCATTCAACAGAAAAACAGCCACAAAGTCCTCAGATATAAAAGTCTCCTCACAAGTTCAACAAAAGTTAATCAAAAGATGTTCTCATTTTGACGATAAGTTGAACCTCTCATCCAAGATTACACGGTTCAAAAAAAATATAATTCATTCACTACAAAAACTCTGTGGTGGAGAAAAGCATTGCAATGATGACAGACAGTTGCTTTGTCAGGGCACCACGGTGTAAACCTTTACATCATCCATTTCCGGGCTTCTTACTGAGTACTGAAACGTCCATCCATGGCAAGCACCAGCATGCACGCCCTTCTTATTGATGGCAAACACAGCTCCTACAAAATCAGGGAATTTTCTCGCAATTCGTGATATTGCATCCTTTGCGGCAAGATTAGGTTCCATCCCCAATCTCATACTCTCCACAACTTGATAACTGCAGTTCAATCATTTAAAGTACATAGCTAGATTCATTAAATGGAAGTGAAAGACTCAATAGAGGTGCATCTACATAAGTTTGACAAGGAATCTATTTCAATCATGGCCGCCAGCCAGAAGAAAATTTAGGACTAAATGCACAAGGGAAAGTACAAAACAAAGCCTTCTTACACATACACAACATATTCATTAGAGGTGAATGAACCTGCATAGGAACTACCCAAGTAGTTTTCAAACCAAGTAAACCAGAACTAAAAATGTGATGGTTCAGATTGGCTTGCTACGTTCGTAACTAAAGCCTCTGTGCCAGCTTACAATGCTTAACAAGCCTCCTACAGGTATGTTTTGTTCAAGAAGAGTATTTACTTTATGGTTAGGACAAATTATAACACTGGATTGACTTCAATCTGTTCTGCAGATTAGAGTTTCACCCTGACCCCATAATGATTAATGCTATGAGAATATGCAAGTCTATTGCCCATGATTCATCAAAATCTTAAAGGAAAAATTCTGAACATAAATAATTGTTGATTTCATTAGGAGGAAAGCCTAATCATCTAAAATACTAGGATTTGCTGACCCAAATTGACAACCTTTAGCAATATTCCAACGCTTCAGCCATCAAAGGAATGTTTGCTCCATAAGAAAAGAACCCAACTAGGACCAAGACAAAAAATAACCAATAATTTAGTAAAATATATTTTTTCCATTACCATGGAAGGAAACGCATCATGATGTCACCATCTCCAGTTGCACCACAAGCACCAACTTCGTCATCAGCATATGCAGAAGATCCTGCAATTGGTCCATCACCCACCCTGCAGTCAAGAAAGCAATGCCTCTAGTAAATTGAAACTACGGATGGGGTGATAAATTTCTCATTTCATCATTATTTGATTATTTTTTATGGGATTAATTCCTTCATAATTAATAGCAACAAATAGAGATGGATGAGAAGCTCACCCAATGTTGTCGAACAGCTTTATGACTTTGTTTGTACAGTATTTTACAAAAGCATAACCAATTTTCGCAAATAAGTACAAACGGTACTAGCAAATAAATTTTTTATTAGAAAAGAACAGGGATTCAGCTAAGCAAAAACTGAGTTTAACTTTTACCAATAAGATTAGAATAGTATCAACTAGTAGTATGCCTGAGTACAACTTACCTCCCTGGGATCTTAAATGTGGCTCCATTTGTTGAGGTACCAACAGCGATGTTCCCCATCTAGACCAAGAAAAGAAGGTAATTAGTGAAATCAAGGCATTTAAAGGAACCTTGCTAAGGTTATCAACTTACTTTATCAAAAACTGCCATTGATATGGTGTCATGGTTGTGACGACCAACATGAGATGATCTTGATTTAATATTTTCCATCAGAGTGGTTTTGGAACATGTCCCATGAGAAGAGCCCAGGAAGTCCTTTGCATGATAAGGGCCACACCTATCTACAGGTACAACATCTTTCCAAAAATTAGGCTGGCAGTGGTTTACTTTCCATTTGGTCCACTTATCCATAGACTCTGATGAACTAAGGTTTGTTGGTCCTGGAAGACCCATAGAAATAGCAAAAGCTGCGGCTTGCTCTCCGACAAGCAAAGTGTGTTCGGTATATTGCATCACTAACCTAGCAGCTTTGATTCCATCCTTTATATACCTCATGGCAGCAACAGCTCCAACCTCCATTGTCACCTATGCATGTCCTTAGCAAACACATAATAGATAGTGATTTTTAGAGCAAGCAATAGAAAGTGGTGTAGTAACAAGAAAAATAATTGCGACAAAAGGAAAAATGCAAATACTACCTACCCCATCCATGACCAGAGCATCGATTGTAGTTTCTCCGTTCTCATCTGGACTCCCACCAGGCCCAACTGTCCCAATAATAGCACATATTATAATTTCTTAAAGTAATTACCAATCCCATCAACATGCTTAGCAGTATTCCATTTGAGAAATCACAAAATCAGTTACATAATTGAAGAGAAGTTTTTAGTATGCTAAGAAAACAAAACTTACTTATGGTCGGTTATGATTTAATTTTTAAGAACTCAGTCGATACTATAGACACATTCTAATATGATTTAAAGCTCCATTTTCATAAGAAGTGACATTGAAATAAGCTACATGATAGTATTGTTGTCAGTAAGATAATATTCATCCTGGTTTTCCAAGCCATCCAAGATAATAAAAATTAAACCGGGGTTTGTAACTCATTAATTAGTAGCTAACATGAACTTCACAATAAAGTAAAGACGCAACAAGTTCTCTGTCACCTTCATCTTCTATATCATGAGTTTTAGACAGACAAACAATTCTCTCCCTCCCTCCCTCCCTCCCTTCCTCTATAATGCTAATGCACATAAATGATTAACCCAATGAAGCAGATAAAGTATCAAAAATCAGCATTTACAACTAAATACTGAAAATAATCAAATAATGCACCAATTCCTAATAACAGTTTTCTTCCATGAATAACTCAACCAAATCTAAGAATTCAGGCACCCACCTGTACCATCACATCTCAGTTCCTCGCAAGCTGAACAACCCTCAACAACGGCATCCACCGCAGAGAACCCATTATCAACAACCCTCCAAGCTGCTCTGACAGCCTCTAAGAATGGCCATGTGCTCACCACCACAGGGTATTGCCCGGAATTCGAAGCTTCGTGTCCCATGACCTATTAACCCATTCAAAATTTGATCTTCAATTAATAATTCTACCCAATCATATGTGTAATGAAAGAACCAAAATAGAAGTGTTTGATTTCTGAGAAATTGCAATCTTGGACTTTTCCTCTGTTTTCTTAGCAATGAGATATGAAATAATCGAACAGGGTTAATAAGAAAAACTTAAAAGCAGATATCTTCGACTTTTCCTCTGTTTTCTTAGCAATCAAACAAGGAGAAATTGCAAAAGATAGTGTGATCAAATCAAATATGATTAAATTACCATGAAGAGTAATGCAAATGTAAGGAGAAAGATAGATGCGGAGTTCAGATTGGTGGCAGCCATCGAGTGGGGCAGCAAAGAGTGAAGGTCTTTCATCTTTCAAAAGCTCAGCTGCTGCTCTGTTATCTGTGCTGGGCCTTCTTCAGGAAGAAGAACGAGTTTGACTTGCAGGTGATTCGGCTTGTCCACTTGAAAGTGGGTCAACTCAATTATGACTCGCTCAGTTAAATGTGCATCGAGTGAGAATTACTTGGGCTTGGACCGTCTTTCAAACCCAAATAATTTTATTTTTTTGTGTATAACCCATTCGAATAGGAAACCTCTACTTCCAATAAAAAAAAAGATATAATTATATGAATCAGATTGTGATAGAAAGTTTGCTATTTCTTGAGTAGGTTTCCTAATTCTTCTTCTTCTTCTTTCTTTCCTATATTTTTTCCTTGTGTTGAAAGGTTTCCTGATTCGAATGGGTTTGGGTTATATGAATGTTGTATACTTATATATAATAGATTCATAAGGTGTCTTCCATCCATAGTGTGCAAAAAATTGTAAGGGAAATTAGTGAAGATAGAGAAAGAGAAGTATGGATATAAAGGCTATTTTTCTTCCATCCAATGTTTTCAAAGACATGCCTTCGAGCGCATCAGAGCGAGGCGACAAGGAATCACCTGAGGTAGTCAACGTCATTTCACTTCGAGTGTTTTGAAAAAAATTAAACGCAAGTTTCTGTTTTTATTTTTCTTACCTTTATTCTAATAAAATTAAGGTAAGAAGATATTAATATATTTCTTGCCTTTTTCTAGATTCAAGCGGCTGTAGCCTATATATATAGTACAATCCTAATTTCTACTCTTACTAGATAATCTCCATCACTGTTTCAAGGTTTACGCCTCGCATAGCGTGACTAAAACTCCTCGTATCAACTCCTCGCCTTTCAAAACATTTCTTCTATCTCCCGTGTTCATAGGTGTGTGTTTTTTATATTAAAACAATCCAACTTCATCTGGTAACATAAAGTTAAAAAATACTTTGAAGTCGTCACAGTTTTCCTTGTGCTGACAATTTGTAAATTTATTGCATGCATGCAGGTTTTTGAATATTAGCTATATATGGAATTTTCCGAAGATTTACTTCAATATGTTTTCTCATGGTTACCAGCAAAACCTATTTATAGATTCAAAACTGTCTGCAAATCTTCTTCCGAATTCTCAACAAACAAGTTATTTGCGTGGACCCAAGCTCGTAACTTGCACGTCAAGGATGACTCAGGGTTCTTTATTCAACCTAGTATCTCCACGGGTCCAAGCATCGTGACAAAGTAGAATATCACTCACTACCTGGTGAACAACTCTTCTCAGGTGTGCCCCAAAATCTCTTCAGTTTCTCGAAAACACCGGATCAAAGGTCTTGGCATCAAGTAATGGCTTGATACTTTGTCAAAACACCAAAACCCCAGATGATCATAACTTATTTCTTTGCAATCCCACAACACAAACTTGGCTAACCATTCCAACCCCACAAGGTTTAGGAGGAGTAAATTGGCCCAAAGGAGTTGTGCTTGAGTGCAACATTAACAATCCAATTTCAGACCCTGATCATCAAGACTATATGCTACTAATCATTCAGCCACCAAGAGATTGATTACCCCACTACGAGTGCAAAATTTACTCGCCAAAAGAGGGCAGATGGAAGGAAAAAAAAGTTCATGAATTTGGTCGTATAACACTTCGTCTTGATATGCCTGTTTATCACAATGGTGCCGTCCATTTTGTTTCAGATTGTGGAGATCCTTTGGTGCGCAGAGGAAGTGTATACTATAGGCCATATATTGTGGCATATGATATTAACAATGATACCACAAGAAAACTAAGACTGCCTAATGATGCAAGGAAGGGGTGGGATGATACTTTACACAATAGCAATTTGGGGATTTTCAAGTGGGGAAGTAGGAAAAGTTCATCTGAGTCAATCTGCTTGGTAAGGCTGAAGAAGTATGTGTTCACTGCATGGGTTTTGAGAGACTACGATTCGGTTTCATGGATTCGGATTATGAAAAGTAGGGTTAGAGCAATGGGGTTGATGGAGACTAACCCTAATTATATTGCAGGGTTTACAGTCATGAATGGGAAGACTTTGCTATTTGCAACTAGAAAGAAAGTCTATAGATATAATATGATGGGTTGAAGTCAACAGATTGAACAAGTTTGTAAGCATCAGTGTCAATATGATAATCATTGGCACGTTTGTTTCACCTCCTATTCTAACACCCTTCATCCACTTGGAATTGGTGCTGCAACATTGCCCGACATCTAAAAAGCTTTCCCATGATTATTGTTTGTTTGTTTGTAGTGTTATTTTAAGGATGGGGTTATGAGATTTTTTGTTTTCTTTGTGGAAGGCATATTCTATTGCTTTGATTTTATTTCTTGATCAAATACAATATTGGTGATTGATGATATTATCAAAAGATATAACGGGGATAGAAACGTAATTTTATCGTCTATTTTGAGCAACGAAGAAAAGGCGGGGTTGTGGGTGTTGCCACTAACCGTCCAAACTGCCAGTTTCCTGATAGTGGCATAAAAGTTCCAGTGTTTCTCATTTGCAATTAGAGGATCAATTAGCAAGGAGATCATTAAATCAGGCTCCTCTAATTTCATCATCTTTGAGGCTTGACGGTCCCACTCAATCCTAATCCTAATAAATTGATCATCTAACGGCTGACCTTAATTCGGTAACACTAGCATCCATGAGATGAGCCATGCAAACCCAAGTATATATGCTACATATCAAAAACTCAAATTCAAAATATCCTTCTCAATAATTTCATTTTTGCAAGAAACCCAAATGAATTTTCGTAAGAAAATCGATGGAAAAGTATATGTTATGGAGAATTTGGAGTGAAGAAAATTACTGATCTCCAAAAAAAAATAGACTTTGTTCAAAAATGGAGAGGCCAAATGCATATGTTAAGAAAGGGCCATGGACTGCTGAAGAAGATGAGGTACTGATAAGTCATGTGAAGAAATGTGGTCCAAGAGATTGGAGCTCCATTCGATCCAAGGGCCTTTTGCCACGAACTGGAAAATCATGTCGTCTCAGATGGGTTAACAAGCTTAGACCCAACTTGAAGACGTAAGCCCTCATAATTTATATTAGCAAACACTAATTTTTATTTATGTGTTGACATGCAACATGCAGTTTTGGTTTCTATTTTATTTTAGCATGTTTTCTTTGTTGGTTCTTGGTGGGTTTTAGACAATTTTTGTTGTTGTGTTTCTGTAACATTCCTGCTTAAGATTGATGCTAACGATACGAAAAATGTGAACTTTACTACGAAGTGGAAGCAAGTTTTCAGCCGAGGAAGAGAGGATGGTGATACAACTGCAAGCACAATTCGGGAACAAGTGGGCGAAAATCGCAACGTATTTGCCAGGGAGAACAGACAATGATGTGAAAAATTTCTGGAGCACGAGACGGAAGCGGTTCGAGAGGATTTTGCAGAAATCAACATCACTACAGTCCCAGAACAACAAAGGAAAGAGCCCTCTTGTCCGTCATGAATTACCAGAGGTTAAGGTAGCAATTAATGTTGTCAAACTTTCTAGACAGAATGTTTATCGGGTGTGTTCCATTTACAATTTTTTGATTTTCAGGTTCCTTCTGATCCATGCAGTTCTGCTATTGAGGAGGGCACATCATGCTGCAACTATGAAACCCACAATTGCTTTTCAAATTCTCAAGAGTTCAGAATGGTGCCCCTGCCAGATTTGGTAAAACCAAACCTGCAAAATGTGGAAGCAGAGCAGCCAATATTTGAGGCCACGCCCCTTCATATGATCTCGCCGATTGATTCCCCACCACACTACTCTCTGTCTCAGCTCCCTCAGCCCCAACTGGACCTTCCATTTTTGTCAGAATGCAAGGAACTTGACCAAGGCCCTATGGCTCCCGACCCGTTGGACATGTTTGGGCTTACTGAATGTGAGAGTGGCCAGAAGTTCTTTAAGGAGAATACTGCAAGTACCAAGCTAGGAGAAGTAAAAGACCTTTCGATCCCCAACATTTATTTCGATGATTTCCCACCGGAGATGCTTGATTATCTTGAAACACTTACAAGCTCGTCGGAGTTATAAGTTCTTGGGAGCTTGTGTTGTGTAACTACTATTTGGTATGTTGGTGACTTTGCTTTAAGAAAGGGAACTATTGCTGATTTACTGGGACATAAATACCCAACAGACATGCAGATCTTTTTTCTTCAATAAATATATATATTTTTTAATTGTTGAATATCCGAAAAAGTTACTTCTTTGTACAATGTGCTAGTCGAATAAAGACCTAGTCTATACTGCCAGCTAAAACCACCGTAAACTCAGTATAAACTGATATTATTAAGAAATTTACATACTCCAATGGTGATGCACTAACACCTCCTAAAGTAAAAAATAATGCAAAAACCAATCACAAGTCCAATTTGTATTAAATCCAAGCTTTTAACAGCTGCACACTAAACACACAATAGCTTCTCCCCTAGCAAGCAATTCATGGTTGACCGTACTCCAAATAGAAATAAAGTTTGAACCTTCTCAGGGTTGGAAAAGATCCAAACATCTTCTACTTTGTAATCGTCATCTCAACCAGATCTGATTTCATTCTGGAAACATTAACAGTTGGACAGTCCAACTCAATTATCCCATGCTGTATGAGGAAATAAGCAATTTGTGTCATCTCCAAATTGTTTCGTTTGCATCTGTGAAAATGGCATTGTGATGTCCCATGAGGCACTGGACAACCTCAATAGCGCCGAAGTCAATGGGCACGCCATCATCCAAGGGAATGGAATCATCTACAGCATCGTCTTCATCTGAATCCACAATAAAGATGTAAGCAAAGGAACAAAGAAAAAAAAAGAATAACTTCTTTCAAAAAACCAACAATATAAAACCTATTTGTTTCCTATAATTTGCCTAACACAGGAATAATTTGCTAATGAAAAAACAAATAGTGCTACTTTCTTTCTTTCTACAATTCAGTTCTTCTTCAAACAATCAGCCCATGTATTTTGACCTACTGATATGATTTACACATTCATATGGTTAGAGGGAGTAATAGAAAACTTTATATGTAACTTTAGCTTTAGGCTTTTCGTTTTTCAATGAAACTTTGGCATTGTTGAACTTCAACTAAAAAGAACGAATAAATATGACTAATTTCACCAGTCAAATGTAGAAACAACAAAGATCTCACTGTTCCATTTCTTCGCCTTTTTTTCTCTCTCACATATAACATTTGAAAAAGTGTAGTTAAAAGACGTCAAAGGCATCAAATTCAGCATAAGTAAATTGAGATTCATTCCAATGTATTTAGTTCTCATCCTACAAGTGTTATAAGTATGCATTATACATAAACTGCTCCTATTCGAAACAATATACATTGCAATATTTCTATCATCTCTGCATTTGAATAGAGTCCAATTGAATCTGGTATTTATGAGAATGAACCACTCACCAGAAAGCATGTCCCAAGCACTATAAGTTGGCTCTGGATCCAAGTTCTTCTTGGAAGGACCTTTTGATGGTTCAGTCCAATATTTCCTATATAGGTCTGGTGTCCTGCCCTTCTGCCAAATTAGAACAGGGGCCATCTCCATTGCAAGGCTTTGGGTGTCCATCTGTATAAAGTTATCAACTATTTAGCATGCTTATCAAATATCTGGCTATGAATAACCAATCCATGTCTATAACAGAGAGAGAGACAGAGAGAGAGAGAGAGAGACAGAGACAGAGAGAGAGTGTCCTGCCTTGTTAAGAACCGACTTCTGGCTAACGCGGAGCAGTAGTGCAGTAATAAATTCTAGGGTCGTGTAGTTTACAGTTGGAAGTCTCCTCAGCATGTTTCTCATCGCATGTATGCTGGAACGAGCACCTTTGATCTCATTATAAAGCTCAAATGTGGTTAGTGGCTCGGGAAGGGTAGCTAGGTAACATTTGATTAGAGCTGCTACGTCAATTGGATTTATTCCCTCTGGTAATGATGCATTTGAATCTGATATATGCAATATTACAGCATTAGAGATTAATGTCGTCCAAATTGAACAACTCAGAAAACTTTGTTCAAAAGACAGAAATAAAAAGAAAACACAAACACACACAGATATGTCAGATACCTTGGTTGTACAGTGAAACCAATTGTTGAATGACCTTTTTATCTCCCTCCCCTTTAAATAGGTATGGTGTGTTTAGTCCTAGAAGCCACAAACAATCAAGAACAAGTTAATCGTGCCTGAAATAAACGTATACAGATCAGAGAAGTGTAGGTTCTTAGATTGCAGTACCTGATAATATGAGATAATCTGCACAGTTGACCAAAATATGAGGAATGGGCCTGCTAGATTGCTGCCGTTGCACAGTAACTTCAATTGGAACTCCAAAAACTGAAAATAAACGTTTAAATTAGTGCAAATGAAAATTAAACTTAGGATCACTATCCATTCCAGGATTAAAAGCGACCACCATCCTAGTATACAGAGCTTGATCATTAATGCACAAACCATACAGAGATGTAGAGGATCCACATTTTCACCATTCTTCAAACAATGGGAACTAATGAAGTTTATGATTATACAAAATCCACCTTACAGCTATGCATATGTATAAAGTCTAGAAGGAACCCCGTGTGACTTACCATCAGTGCTTGCAACACCCTGAAAATGGAAAAAACAAGAATAAGAATTTTTAAATGTCTATAGGAAAAGAAGAAAAGAAAGGTAACAATTTTCTCAAAATTACATACCTTCTGCCATCTTTCAATGTCACTCAAAATAGTTTTGCTCTTTTGGGCAGTCTTCTTTGCCACCTGAAAGAAAAGTCACCATTTCAAGTGTTTCAGTTATCATCTCAACTTTATCATCTCAACTTCAGAATCATGCCTATTTTATGGATGATGCAAGCTCATATTGTCAAGCTCTAGACAAAATCCAAATCAGCATTTACAGAAGTAAGAATTTATTGTCAAAACCATTCAACGTTAGCATGAGATGTTGTAGGTTTTAACTTTCATAATAACTGGAAATCTGTACAAGCCTTAAGTTGGATATAAATCACTTTGACCTATTAAAGTTCTAGCAAATCTACCTCTTCAACTTTTATCTTCCCAACAGAAACCTTGTCTTTTGTCTCTGATAAGCCCTTCCTAAACAATGTCCCGGTCGTAGCAGCAGCAGTTATAAGGCGTTCCTGCACAGCATGTCTTGTCGATGGTTGCTGAAGAAGCGCCCAACGACTTTTGAACATTGACCCTACACGTTCTGCCATATCAGTTACATTAACTTTTGCATCCTTAGTGACCTCTTCAACAAATGTTCCAGCAGATTGTCCAGCTTCTTTAAGCTTCACCCCTTCATTAAGACTTAGCTATAGTTAAACAACAATTTTAAAATAAAATAAAAAATAAAAAATAAAAAGAGTAAACAAGAGAAACTGTGTAATCAAAAAGTACCCGAGGTAGAAAAGAAACCACTAGCCTTCTCTTGCCACCGGGGTGACGTTGCAGAAGGCATTGAAGCAGTTGAACTAACCAGAATTAAATTAGCCTGTTTTAAAGGAAAAGCAGTATAAAAAATGTCAAAGAAGGCTGAAAACTACTAGTTAGTGGAGGTTCTGCTAATTTAAGGAAAAAAAAATTACAATAAGCTCAGCATGTTTTCTCACTTCGGTTACAAAAGAACTAAGGAAAGGAACAAGCTTTGGATGCTAAGGAAATGAAAGAAGATCAAATCCCCTCCCAAAAAAAAAAACAATCAAGGTCTTTCTCTTCTTGTTACTAAAAAGTAAAAATTTTAAGCTCAACTAAGTCATTCAGCTTCAATCAATTATATTTCATTGTCACCGGATAAAGATTTAGGTCCTCTTTCTTTTGGTAAATAGATTTAATTCCTCTTTCAACAACAGTCCAATCCTCAAACCCTACTTCCTTTTGGGTACAAATACAAATAGCCCAAATCAATATCAATCGCAGCCTGATCAAACATGGAACTAGACAAAAAGAAACGAACAGTACTAATACCGTAATACTTGAAGATAAGTTAGCTTCCAATATTCAAAGACAAACGAAACCCTAATTTTAAACTAATAACGAATTCATAAAAAAAAGATTACCTCTTTTGAGATAGCTGATCAAGGACGCTGGAAGCAAAAGGCAAAACAAGCTGAAACAAGAAAATTGAAATTGAAAAATAAAAATCCCTTTTTTTAAAAGAGATACAGACTGCAGAGAGAGAGAGAGTCATCCAATTTAGGAAATTCAAAATAAGGCGCTTCTCTGCGATTGGCTGGGGTGTCAGTCGGGTAAACCCGCCAATAGTGTCCCGCCACGTCGGCGCTCATTTGAGAAAACGCTGACCAGGATTCTGGAGGGTACTTCAACGGAACATAACCGTTGTATGCGTAGACTGAGATTAACATTTTTCTTTTGTTTATAGTAGACTGCAGTGTCCCTATCATTGTTTTTTATTTATTTATTTATTTATTTATTTATTTAATTTTCATGAAACGGTTGCTGCTGTGCCTATTTTGAAGGTCCCACGTTTCGACATTTTGTGTTTTATTGGGTCTCCTACTTGCAAATATAAAATCAAAGGAACCAAATCTATTAATATTATCAAGTCGTGATTGAATGTGTTATCTTATGGATGTGACATAAATTTACAAAATTCAACTACGTGGTCAGCCAAAAAAAAGATAATTTTACTGTTTGTCAACTATGTGATAGGCGCGAGAAACTTGATTAAGAGTATTCATTTTTTACACTTGAGGTTCTAATGTTCGATTATCCTTTCACTTATTATCGCTTGTGTATAAATAAATAAACTATATTGCTCACTGTTTTTGCACTGATTGTATTTTATTGTTTATATTTTTTTTTCTTTTTTGTTTGTAAGAACCCTTCTCTAGAGCAGTGTTCTTTATGTGTAATCTTGTAATTGTCATTCATACCCTGTTCTATAATTTTAAAAAAAAACTATGTAATACGTAAATTTTTTATTTATTTAATTGGAGACTATGAATGTACTTTATTTACCTTGATGAATTATGATGAAAATGTTTTGGTATTATTATAGTTTGAAAATGTGTCATGTCTCAAAAAGTAAGGGGCCAGAGGTAGCCCAATAGATCCAAATAACTTAAACAGGAGCCCAACATCAAAATGACATTAGAACCTCAAAACGAAAACAGAAAGGGCCTTACTTCTATATCTATACATTTGAGTCATTACAATTTACAATACAACTGCATCAAGGCGCTTCTATCTTAGCGTCCTTGCTAAAATCCCCCACAATTCTCCTCCAAAACCAGTGCTCCACCCACACCATCTCCATCTTCTCAATAGGCACGTTCTTCGTCTCCGGCAAAAACAAGTAGACGAACATGGTCATCACCGACACCCAACCCCCAAAAAAGAAGAAAATCCCTGACTTGAAGTGGCAAAGCATTGCTAGAAAAGTTTGAGCAACAATGAAAGTGAACAAAAAATTCACAACCACATTGATGCTTTGCCCGGCTGATCGAATTTCCAAAGGGAAAATCTCACTAGGCACCAGCCATCCAAGAGGCCCCCATGACCACCCAAATCCTGCTACATATATGCATATCAAAACCAGCACTAAATATGCATACCCTTTGCTCACTCCACCATGATCACCAAGCTGAGCTGCCATCACACCCCCAATCATAATTTGTGACACCAACATTTGAATTCCCCCTACCATGAACAAAGCTCTTCTCCCAAATTTGTCCACTATGAGCATAGATATGAAGGTTGAGATTGTACCAACAATGCCAGTCATGACAGAAGACAAAAGCGATGCGCTTTCTCCCAAACCAATTGTTCGAAAAAGAATCGGGGCATAAAAGGCTATGACATTGATCCCTGTCACTTGCTGGAAAAATGGTATGGCTATTGCCATGACAAGTTGAGGCCTATACTTTCTCTCTAAGATTTTCTTGAAAGGGTGTTTGATAGTTTTTGATATGTTGTTTGCTTTGATGAGATCATCAAGCTCTGCTTCTACATCATCGACGCCTCTGATGCGCTGTAACATTTGCTTGGCCCTTTGGTGGTCTGTGCTGCGTTGAATGAGACTGTTTGGTGTTTCAGGAAGGAAAAATGCACCAAGTGTTAGCATTGAGGCAGGGACTGCCGCCATGGCTAGGGAGATTCGCCAACCCCAACCGGCTTTGATCGTTTCAGTGCCGTAGTTGATGAGGTTAGCTGACAGAGCACCAATGCCAACACTAAATTGGAAGCCATTGTTAATTGCTCCTCTGTGTTTTGCTGGTGCCATTTCCGAAAGATACAAAGGAACAGCCTGCACAAAACAAATAGATTACGCAACTAAGTAACAAGAAAAAACCTGCATTTGGTTTAGGGGCAAAAAATACTACCTGATTAGCAAAACCAACACCAACACCAAGCAAGATGCGACCTAGGATTAGCATGTAGATGTTCAAAGCTGCACCGTTTAAAGCCGAACCAGCAAGAAATGCAGCACCCCCAGCAAGGATTGAAGGCTTGCGGCCATAAGCTCTCGTGACCAAACTGGCAAAAAGGGAAGCTAAAAGGCCAGCTATGTAGAGTGAGGATGTGAAGGAGGTCAACAATTCGCTATCAAATTTGCAATAGTTGCTGATTTTCTTGTCGGATTTCATCCTGGTGTACACTTCTGGGAAGAACTTTTTGAGAAATGGCTCCATTGATGTCACTCCACCTTCACATATAGCAGTTTACTTGCATAAAGTTTGCCGACTTTAACATTATATAGTTCTGCAAATTTAAATGAACTTATTTGAGTATGAAATTTAGACCTGAAATTCCAATGTCATAGCCAAAAATAACTCCTCCTGTGGCTGCCACCATGCAAGAGAGGAGCACAAATGGTGTCATCTTGCCATTATATTGCCCTCCTGCACTTGATATTGCCAACCCAACTGCCATGGCTAGCTTCTTCCAAGCTCACCCACAAGAGAGCACAGAGAGAGGGGAAGAGAGAATTCAAAGATGTAACTTGTACAAAGAGAACTGCAAATGTAGAGCAGTCTTACTTGACTGGTTGAGATCAGACAAATCTTTTTGAACTGGTTGCAATCACAATCTCTATCAGGCACGTCATGTTACAAAATTCAATATTCAGGCAGGACCATTCAACTTACCAATTGTTGGGACAGAAGAGTACTTCTAGCTAGGCTACAATAAAAAGTTGAGTGTGAATTATTGGAAGGTTGGAACAGAATCTTTTATTTTTCCACATAAATAAAGTAAAATATTAGGGAAGGAAGAAAATACAATAAAAGAATGAACAAACAGCCATATCCATGCTTGACCAGCAATGTTAGCTTAGAAGCTGCCAAAAACTGGTGCTTAAAAAAAACCTGAGCTTTCCTTGGTTTTGCCAAGTGTCCTTGATATGGGCAAATTACTAGTCACTTATCATAATGCATGATTATTAGGCATTTAGCATAAACTAAGCCTGTTAGCTTAAATTAAGGTCTAATTCATTGGTTTAAGATATGATTTCTTTATATTCAGACACGCCGAGTAAGGGCAAACCGTCGTAGGACTTTCTCATGTGATTTGTTTTTTTAGTAAACTTCTACATATGGTCCCAAATTACAGCACGCCAATAATCCCAAAGTGGTACAATCCAATTAACCTCTAACCTTTTTGGTTAGATGGGTTAACAATAAATTTACCACATCATTAATTACAGCTTAATTAATTACTATCCTCCCTCACTTATCGCACAAATCTGTTCCAAAACCAATGCTCTCTCCACACCCTATCCATCTTCTCAATAGGAATATTTGCAGTCTCAGGCAACAAGAGGTACACAAAACCAGTCATCACCATAACCCAACCTCCAAAAAAGAAGAAAATCCCAGACTTGAAGTGACAAAGCATGGACAGAAATGATTGAGCAATAACAAAAGTCGACACAAAGTTTACTGCCACTGTAACACTTTGCCCAGCTGATCTTATCTCCAATGGGAAAATCTCACTTGGGATCAGCCACCCTAGTGGGCCCCATGACCAAGCAAACGCAGCTACATACACACACACAAAGATCAACACCAAATATGCATACCCTTTGTTCATTCCACCAATGTCACCTAGCTCAGCTGCCATTATGCTCCCTACTATAACTTGTGACACAAACATTTGAATTCCCCCTATTGCAAACAGAGCTCTTCTGCCTAGTTTGTCCACCATAAGCATTGATATAAACGTCGCGCTGGTACCCGCAGCGCCCGTGCTCATCACAGCTGACAAGAGTGACATGCTTTCACTTAAACCTAGTGTTCTAAAAAGTATCGGGGCATAAAATGAGAAAACATTGATCCCAATCACTTGTGTAAAGAATGGCATGGCAATTGCCATAACAAGTTGAGGCCTATATTTTCTTTGCATCAATTTCTTAAAAGGGTATTTGATGGTTTTTAAATTTTCACTTGCTTTGATGAGATCATCCAGTTCTGCTTGGACATCTTCGCATCCTCGTGTTCGTTGTAGCATTGACTTGGCTTTTTGGTGGTCGTTGGTGCTTTGGATAAAGCTGTTGGGTGTTTCTGGCAGGAAAAGAGCACCTAAAGTTAGTATTGAAGCTGGGACTGCTGCCAAGGATAGGGAGATTCGCCAGCCAGAGCCGCCCGTGATCTTTTCGGTGCCAAAGTTGATGAGGTTAGCTGATAATACTCCAATGCCAACACATAATTGGAAGCCAATGTTGAAAGCTCCTCTGTGTCTAGGTAGTGCCATTTCTGAGAGATAAAGTGGGACTGACTGCAAGGATATGTTTGATTGTGTGGAACCAAATGTTATAGCACATAATATTATTGAAATGTATATAAAATAAACTATGGAACGTTTTCTCTGCCATCGCATCCTATGTTGCAAGAATTTTGTTTAAAAATAGCAAGTCATATGTATGGCAATAATGTGAGAATGTGAAGGTGAAAATGTTTCCCATTGATAAGTTAGAAAACCTTGCAAGAGCTTATAAGGCTACTCTCCTCATTGCTAATTGGTTTTAGTGTGGAACATCAATTTGGTCCACGTGTGGCCATTGGGCATGTGAGAATGTGAGGTAAAATGTCCTACATCGGAAAGTTAAAAAACCTTGCAAGACATTAGAAGGTGTTGTGCTACTTTCCCCATTGCCAATTGGTTTTGGGGTGAAACTTCAACTTCCTTCAAGTACAACATTACCCTATAAACTAATCGTAAGTGAAAAAAAGGAAAAAAAAAAATCAAATATGGAGCATAATACCTGGTTTGCAAAGCCAACCCCAAAACCAAGCAAGATGCGACCAGATATTAGCATGACGATATTAGTAGCTGCACTGCCTAGGGCCAAACCAGCAAGGAATGAGGCACCAGCTACAAGGATTGAAGGCTTTCGGCCGAATGCTCTGGTGACTGAAGAGGCAAAGAAGGAAGCTACAAGGCCAGCTATACAGAGTGAGGATGTAAATGTTGTCAAAAGTTGGCTATCAAATTTGCAGTAGTTGCTGGTTTTGGTGTCTTCTTTCATTTTAGTGTACACTTCTGGGAAGAATTTCTTGAGAAATGGCTCCATTGAAGTCACTCCACCTTCATGAATTAATCAGGATTAGTACTTGCATAATAAGTTAATGAATTGTTTATTTTTAATCTTTATTTTTGGCAAGTATTACAAGAACTAATTCAATATATATGTGTTACTAGAGAAGCTGACTGACCTGAAATCCCAATATCTTAGCCATAAATAATGCCTCCCATGGCAGCAACCATACAAGATATCACCACAAGCAGGGTGATCTTGCCATTATAATCCTCATCTTCGCTTGTTATAATTGCTAACTCAGCTGCCATGGCTTCTTTTCTTTCAAGCTAATGCACCAGAAACAAAAAATATAGATATTGGGAAGAAAAGAGTTTGTAAGCGTATAGATTAAGACTATGAACAGAAGTCTTCCTTGACTGTCATACATCATCATTATCAGTAGGCCTCAGCGTGGAATGTTCAAAACGAAAAATCACTTAATTTTGGACTTCATTGGAGCATAAAAAATAGTCCAAGAATATTAAAAGCAAATTGACATTAAGAAAAACAAAATAGTCTAAGAATTTTTAAGGGTTTTGATGGGTGCACAGGGATGGTTCCCCTAAAAGCAAGGCAAAATATAAAGAAATGCAGAATTAGAAATAGAAAATGTATATTCTTCTCTACCTCACTACTATGAGGCCAGGCTCCTTTAATACATCAAGGATGGAAAAGCTGATAAGGATGAAAATGTAAGACACATGATAGCTATCTAACAGTTACTCTAGTCGGGTGGGGAAAAGTAAGAAGAGCCTAACAAAGGAGAAATACACATATTGGGCCAAAGCCATGAAAGACATTGTATTGGGAGTGTAGGGTGGTCTCATCAGGTTATAGACAGAAACCTTAGCCGCTTGAGTCCTAAAGGAAAATTCCATAGAAGGGGAAGGACGAAGAAGCGTCACTATCCCTCCTCTCTTCTTGTCTTTTCCTTTTTTTAGGTTAGTGTATAAGTTGATGTAGAACAGATGGCGGAAGCAATTGAAGATGAGCTGAAGCAACGCGCACACAAAGACAAATTCGGTAAACGGCAAATTTGCGCAAATTGGGTGAAATTATAATAATAACCAAAATGAAAAATTGCTTCGGATTAAAAAAAATGAAAAATTGCTAAAAAAACTGCAATTATATAGGCCACAAGTGTCGTGTTTTTTTTTGGCAGCGCATATCAATACCCAACTGCCATGGCTAGCTTCTTCCAAGCTCAACCCACAAGAGAGCAGAGAGAGAGAGCAGTCTTACTTGACTGCTTGAGATCAAACAAATCGTTTTTGACTGGTTGCAAATTGCAATCACAATCTCTATCAGACGCGACATGTTACAAAATTAAATATTCAAGTAAGACCATTCAACTCACCAAAATTCAATATTCAAGCAGGACCATTCAACTTATCATAATGCATGATTATTAGGCATTTAGCATAAACTGAGTCTGTTAGCTCTAATTGATTGGTTTCAGGTGTGGTTTGGCTTCACACCTGCGAACCTCTAAAACAGAGCAAACCGCTATAGCTCTCTCTAATGTGATATGTTTTTCAGTAAACTTCTACAAATGGTCCCAAATTGCAAAAGGCCAATAACCCGAAAGTGGTACAATACAATTAACCTCTAACCTTTTTGGTTAGATGGGTTAACAATCAATTTACCACATCATTAATTACAGCTTAATTAATCACTATCCTCCCTCACTTGTCCCACATATCTGTTCCAAAACCAATGCCCCATCCACACCCTATCCATCTTCTCAATAGGAATATTTGCAGTCTCAGGCAACAAGAGGTACACAAAACCAGTCATCACCATAACCCAACCTCCAAAAAAGAAGAAAATCCCAGACTTGAAGTGACAAAGCATGAATAGAAATGATTGAGCAATACCAAAAGTCGACACAAAGTTTACTGCCACTGTAACACTTTGCCCAGCTGATCTTATCTCCAGTGGGAAAATCTCACTTGGGATCAGCCACCCTAGTGGGCCCCATGACCAAGCAAACCCAGCTACATACACAGACACAAAGATGATCAGCAAATATGCATACCCTTTGCTTATTCCACCAATGTCACCTAGCTCAGCAGCCATTATGCTCCCTACTATAACTTGTGACACAAACATTTGAATGCCCCCAATTGCAAACAGAGTTCTTCTGCCTAGTTTGTCCACCATAAGCATTGATACAAATGTTGCGCAGGTGCCTACCATGCCGGCGCTCATCACAGCTGACAAGAGTGACATACTTTCACTTAGACCAAGTGTTCTAAATAGTACTGGCGCATAAAATGAGATGACATTGATCCCAGTCACTTGTGTAAAGAATGGCATGGCAATTGCCATGACAAGTTGAGGCCTATACTTTCTTTGCATCAATTTCTTAAAAGGGTGTTTGATGGTTTTTGAATTTTCACTTGCTTTGATGAGATCATTCAGTTCTGCTTGGACATCTTCGCATCCTCGTGTTCGTTGTAGCATTGACTCCGCTTTTTGGTGGTCGTTGGAGCGTTGGATTAAGCTGTTGGGTGTTTCTGGCAGTAAAAGAGCACCTAGAGTTAGTATTGAGGCTGGGACCGCTGCCAAGGATAGGGAGATTCGCCACCCCCAGCCGCCTGTGATCTTTTCGGCACCAAAGTTGATGAGGTTAGCTGATAATACTCCAATGGCAACACATAATTGGAAGCCAATGTTGAAAGCTCCTCTGTGTCTAGGTAGTGCCATTTCTGAGAGATAAAGTGGGACTGACTGCAAGGATGTTTGATTGTGTGGAACCAAATGTTATCACACATAACATTATTAAAATGTATATCAATGGAAAATTTTGTCTGCCACGGCATCCTATGTTGCAAGAATTTTGTTTAACAAAATAACAAGTCGTGTATGACAGTAGAACATTACCCTATAGACCAATCTTAAGTTAAAAAAGGAAAAAAAAAAGTTCAAATATGGAGCATAATACCTGGTTTGCAAAGCCAACCCCAACACCAAGCAAGATACGACCAGATATTAGCATATAGACATTAGTAGCTGCACCGCATAAGGCCGAACCAGCAAGGAATGAGGCACCAGCTACAAGGATTGAAGGCTTTCGGCCGAAGGTTCTGGTGACTGAAGAGGCAAAGAAGGAAGCTACAAGGCCAGCTATATAGAGTGAGGATGTAAATGCTGTTAAAAGTTGGCTATCAAATTTGCAGTAGTTGCTGGTTTTGGTATCTTCTTTCATCCTAGTGTGCACTTCTGGGAAAAATTTCTTGAGAAACGGCTCCATTGAAGTCACTCCACCTTCATGAATTAATCAGGATTAGTACTTGCATAGTAATGTTTGGAAAGTATTACAATAACTAATTCAATGTATATGTGTTACTAGAGAAGCTCACTGACCTGAAATCCCAATATCATAGCCATAAATAATGCCTCCCATGGCAGCAACCATACAAGATAGCACAACAAGCAGGGTCATCTTGCCATTGTAATGCTCATCTTTGCTTGTTATTATTCCTAACTCAGCTGCTGCCATGGCTTTTCTTCTTTCAAGCTAATGCACCAGTGTGGAAAAAAGAGAGAGTAGATCTTGGTAAGATAGAGTTTGTAAGGATATAGATTGACAATATGAACAGCAGTCTTCCTTGACTGCTAGACATCATTATCAGTATGCCTCAGAGTGGAATGTTCAAACTAAAATTTCGCTTAATTTTGGACTTCATTGATTGAAGTATAAAGCAAAATACAATTTAGGATTTGGGTGTGGTGATAGATTTATGGGTGTCAATTTGACACGAACTTAAAGGAGCAAGACAGTGGAACTGGAAGCAAACTGACCTCTCCAACTAGCAACTAGTCGGCCCAATGGAGACCAACAAAGGCTAAAAGATAAATATAGCCCAACAGAAAGACTACAACACAAACTCCAAGCCCAATAAAACGCCGAAACAACCCAAGAGAAACAAAACAGAAACCACCAAACAAACAGAAATAACGGCCACAAACAAGCACGTATGAAACACAAAGGAAGCCAAAATCACAGTCAACACTATTTGTACTAGTAACCTGTTTGTGGATGAGTGTTCTTGGAGTAGTCTGTCTGGCCATGAACCTATGTGCTTATGCCTTCGTTTTTTAGGAAATATCTTAAATTTGAGACTTTCTACACTAAAAATATTCTCTTAAACGAAGATATTCGTGCTTATTGGATCACGGGGGATATTATATTAACTTGGGGGACTTAACAAAATCAAGGGCTTCACTGACCCAACTAACTTGAATAAATGTATATATTTTCTTTTTTCAAAAAGTTTTAGCATGCAGAAGTTGATATAATAAAGTAGGACTACCTATCTCCATGAAAAAAAAATTTCTACATAAAACCCAAATTGATAGATTCGGTAGTTGAGATTTCTTGCTCAATGGGATTTTAAAACAAGCATCCATCATTATATATTCACTAGGTTGTGTGCATAATTGCAAAATTATTTCATCCATAAGCTAATCAATTACCGTTGAAATAATAATGTCCACCACCCATATAAAACCACACCCAATTATCATTATATAATAACGTCCATAATCTACAAATTAGTATATAATAGGTGGCCCTGATGCTGTTGAAATTATAGCCATTCGATCTTTATTTTTTTATTATTTTTGTTTTGAAAATGGCATCCCAGAAAATTGCAAAAGGGCCTGGAGATATATATATATATATATATATATATACACATACAGAGAGCTTCTATTGAGGGATCCTTCAAATAAGCTTATTTGAGGGACACCCCTTGTATGGCCCATTCCGGATTGTATTTCACTAATCCAAACCGTCTATTTTGTAGAGACACATTCAAAGATCATCTCTACAAAAATCACTTCAATCTGATATCATTTGACCATTCAATTGAGTTATTGAAATTTTAGTACTTTCTTGAAGCACCGTGTTCATTGATTTTGTAGAACACAATTGAATGTCGAAACGGTTTCCGATTTGTCTAATTTTTTGTAAGGATGATCTATGAATGAAGACCTAAAAAATCAATGGTTTGGATCATTGGAAAAAAAATTGTAGGGTACCCTAAAAGGCGTCCCTCAAATAAAATTATTTGAGGGATCCCTCAATAGAAGGGGACTATATATATATATATATATAATAACGACCGTTAACCGCCATCAACGGCTGAATCCATGGAAACCTTTTGTGCATGATGTAACACAAAATGTTAAAATCCAAGATCAAGGACGGCCCTACTCCACCGACAGACTTCTTTTTGTTTAGATTATTTAGGCTGAGCCATAATATTGTTATAATTAGCCATGCAAATTAGTCAAAAACCTACTGCTTGAGTTGATTGTCTCGTCTCGTCTTGAAATCCTCCCTTGAAGATTTGCAAGTAAAACCATGTTTTCATTGGCTTATCTGCAGAACTTGAGCCTGCAAATTCAAACTACATGTGTAGATTAGTCTGTGATTATTTTCCTGTCAATAAAAGATACGGTAATTCAAAAAAGTGTCCTCTAGTTTGTGTCAAATTAAGGCGACCTATAGAAAACGCCATGTTACTTCACTTCACTCCATTAATAATACCAATTTTAAAAAAATAATTGGACTTGGATTGATAGCAACAGGCACATGATATTTTCCTCTATAAAAACTAGTAGGCTTTTAACACTAAAAACCACACTCTAAACTAGTCATATCAACTTAAGTGCAGTGCACCTTAGCCATGGCCACTCTTAATAAGCTACCCTTACCTGGTTTAAAACCCCTTTGGTACTTAGTCACTGCATTTTGCTACTTTAAGCTGTGTTTTGCCGTTAATCGCAAGCACTTAAACTTGTCGACCACTGCCGCCCATTGGTACCCTGCCGGAGCTACTTGGTATGGCAGCCCTGACGGTGCGGGAAGTGACGGTAATTAATGCATGATTAATATGTGCATGTTTAATAATTTTGCTTAAGAAATAATGATGTTGCTTAGTTAACAAATTGTAAATGCAGGCGGGTCTTGTGGGTATGGAAATTTGGTGTCACAGCCTCCATTCTCTTCTATGGTTACTGGGATAGGCCCTTCTCTGTACAAATCAGGCAAGGAATGCGGAGCTTGTTATCAGGTATAAAGTATTTCCTCTCCTTTCTTATTTTTTATAGGTGGTAATTACACGCACCCCTTATGATAAATTTCCCTTCTTTTTATATTTTTTTAAGGCATGTACAACCACCAATATATTTCCCTTCCTAATTGGCTTACGTCACTCTTCTATTCTTTATAATAGCTGACATTCATGAAACTTTAGTGTTTGGACGTATATATAATAATATATTACTTCTCTCTAAAAAAATATATATATATTAATTTGTCCAATTTTAATTAACTTCAGGTAAAATGTACCAAACATGCATCTTGTTCCGGCAGACCAGTGAGGGTGGTCATCACGGACTTTTGCCCCGGAGGACCTTGTGCATCGGAGGCGGCACATTTCGACCTGAGTGGAACTGCGTTTGGTGCCATGGCAAGTCCTGGCCAACAAGAGAAACTACGCGATGCCGGAGTGTTACAAGTTCAGTTTGCACGGTACATGAAACCCAATTTTACATTTGCAAAATTTGGTAGATTATTTATTATACATTTTGGACTAGATTAATTTGTGTGTGTGTGTTTTTTTTTCCATCGCCATTTGCCAGTGTGGCATGTGACTATTCAGGAAAAACCATTGCATTCCACGTAGACCAGGGCTCAAACCCAAACTATTTTGCTGCTGTGATTGAATTTGAGGAGGGAGATGGTGATCTTGCTGGTGTTGAGTTGAAGGAGGCTTCCTCATCGGACGGGGGTGATGAATGGCGTGCCATGCAACAATCATGGGGTGCAGTGTGGAAACTTGATGCAGGCTCAGAACTGCATCCTCCATTGTCAATAAGGTTGACATCTCAGTATTCAGCCCAAACTTTGCTGGCCAAAGATGTAATTCCAGTTGGGTGGAAAGCTGGTGCCACCTATAGATCCTTGGTCAATTATCTATGACCAAGTCTCTACCCTATAATAATAATAATAATAATATATGAGCCAGGAAATATGTATTAGTAGAATAAAACCAGGAAATTGTGACCAAATTCTGCAATTATAATTGAAAGTCCAGCTTGGTGCACATAGTAAATCTCCAATCGCCTACTTAATCGTGACGTCCTGTAAAGAAAAGCAAAACGTTACAAGAATTACCAAAAGGGCATCCGTCTTGGCATCAAGGAAAAGGGAGAGACTGTCAGAATCAATAGAAACGAATGGCATGGGAGAGAACTCCTATTATGTCACCTCCTCAATTTTCTTGAAGTAGATGAAGAGAAATTATTAGGAACACTCCCAGTCACTCATCTCCATTGGCCTCTGAGAAATTTTCCGAGTATTAGGATTCACGGACTCACACTATGGAGAAAAGTGTGTGTATCATGAGTGTGCATTCACTTTGTCTTTGTCTTTCTCATCACATTATGTTAGTTATATGAGCACCCCGTGCATGCTCTCCACGTTCTCTTTATCTCTCTCTCTCATATCATTATGTTTTCCATGTCAGTCTGATTATATGGACATCTTTTTGCATGCCTTCCTTCCACCTCCGAGAATTAGGTGACTCAATATCAAGAAAAACGTATGTATCACATGAGTATAATGTGATGAGAGATATACAAAGTAGAATGTGTACATTACCTGAATTTTACTTCACAATTAGGGAAAAGAATCTAAGATGTTGATGGCTGCAGTTGGAGACGTCATTTCATTGGCATGGTATTTTCACGCACAGACCACATAGCCTGTAAACGGTTAATGACATAGAACGGGGCTGATTTGGAGCAATTTGGTCTGAAATAGAGTCTCGGGCTGGTTGGGCTCATTTGCACATTTTACAGCCCAATATATTTTCCAACAATATTTCCAACATATTTCTTATAAGTTATAAGCAAGCACATTCAAAAAGGCAAATACTTGCGTCTGGTTATGTATGTCAACAACACTGCAGTTGTTGAGCTAAGTCTGCTCATATAAATCAGCAACGTTTTATGTTCATGGAAATTAATTAGGGTATATTACATTGCCAATTCGGAACAAATTCTCTTTCTACTCTTTTAAGCCTTGATATCATTATCCTCCTTGTTATAATACACCATTTTCACTATTATACAAAGAAAAAGAAAATTTGTACTTGCAATATATTACAATAAATTCAAGATAAAACTTAGAAATCAGCAAGATGGAAAAAGTCCAGTTTTTCTTGTTTTTATTGCTAGCTTAACAAAGTCTCTTGATGACTGCAGTCTGAGACATCCATATCATTTGGCACAGCATCTATCCTGAACACGAAGGCAAACGTTCCTTATTCATTTTCACACACACACCACATAGCCTTTAAAATGTACAGACCAAACTCATATTTGCATTAGGGGATAAGCACAACAGATCCGGATGTTTTCCTATTCTCAAGGTCTTCGTGTGCCTGTGCTGCTTGAGACAATGGGTAGGTGTGATTTACTCGAACCCGCAATACACCTGATTGAACATTACCAAATACCTCTCCCGCCATCTCTAGCAATTCGTCTCGAGTTACAGCATAATGAAAGAGGCTAGGCCTAGTCAAGAACAGTGACTTCACTGCAATGGTTGACAATGGAACCGGATCTGGCGCTCCTGACGACTGCCCAAAACTCACCATGTATCCACGAGTCTTCAAGCATGCCAGTGATCCCTGAATACAACAATAACTCCCAATTAAGGATTCTCAGTCCAAAACACAAATTAGCAAAAGACTGCCTACCCAGAACTCATTATCTACCAGATTATGTTGATCTGGGAGACCAGTTGGGCTTGCAACATTTGAATAAATCACGCCACAACACACTTATTTGAGGGTGTCTTTTCTTCTTCTCTTTTAATTACTGATTACCAACCATTTGCACTACCACAATCACAATGTAACTAACTTTAGGGTCTATTAAGGAAGAGTGATTTCAGGTCTAAGAATTTAGTAAATAAAATATAGATAGATTGACTGATCCGACATAAAAGTCTTTTGTCAAAATCCAACTCCTAACTTTAAAGCATTCCGTCTAAATGGACCCCCTCATCTTTTAAAAAATTCATAAACCTGGCTCAAATTCAAAAACACTGGTTTCATAGGCCTGGTCTAGTATTGAGAAACTTCAGCACCATGTTAATGGGAAGCCTACTCAAATGTACTCATGCAGAATTTGAACAGTGTATGATCTCTCCCTAAACACCCTTCATTGTGTTTTTGTTCATTTGTAGAAAAAAGGGAGAAGAAAAGTATAGCTTACCTCAAAAGTATCCTTCCCTACAGAATCATAAACGACCTCGACCCCATTGTCAGATGTTATTTCTTTCACTCGAGCAACAAAGTCCTCTTCCTTATAGATTATGACATGGTGACATCCATCCTCCTTGGCTTGAGCTGCCTTCTCTTTAGTAGATACAGTTCCAATGACAGTGGCACCAAGGGCATTAGCCCACTGGCATAAAAGGGATCCAACTCCACCAGCTGCTGCATGGACAAGGACTGTGTGTCCAGGTTCAACCTGGATAACAACACTCAAGTCAGACCTAATAACAAAAGCAACATAAGTTTCAAATTTTTGAAACATATATAACATTAGGAAAGAGGATGGGCTATGTTAAGCACGCAATTGTAGAATGAACCCAAATTAAGATTGAAGCACTTAGTTGATTACACGTTGCTGGTTTACAATAGAGCTTGTTTTTTAGGGTGTACTATCTTGATGGTTTGGACATTTTACTCATTGAATTCATATTTAGTTGTTAAGTTTTTTTTTGTGTTGTTTTTTTTTCCACAGATTGTCCGGTGGAACAGAATCAACAAGTGCGCCACAAATGATAAAGTGAAAGAGAACAAGAATGGTAGTTTTATCTTACATCAGATAATGATAGGGCATGTTTTTAAAATTTATAGTCTCAAAAGAACAAATATAAATAGGGAGGGAGAGAGAGAGCTCCTCAACTCCCATGAGTGCTCATGATTAACAAATGAAAAAGACTAACTCAAACACAACTGAGCATGCTTTGTCAAAACGGGGGCAATTCTGCCCAAAAAGTTTTACAATGACCACAAAAAATATCAAAACAGTATTAACAGTAATGAATATTCTCCTTGACAGGAAAACTAATAGGTGCATGCTAACAGCTCTATAAAAATGTTTTGCAATGCCACACGCATATTCAATGAATACTAAAACTAGCATGGCCTAAAATATCACAACCAGGATGTCGTTATCTTGTGTTTTGTAATTCAAACTATCTTCATTTACAGACTTAATGAGTGGATAATGACTTCCTGAAATTCCAGATGCTGCTGCATAAATATAAAGCTACCTTGAAACAGCTGCGTAGTAGAAACTGAGCTGTCATACCCTTGAGCAAGAGGGATGCAGCAACAGTAGGATCAATGGAAGGAGGAACCGGCACAACTCTGTTTGCAGGAAGGATCTGCTCTTCAGCATATGAGCCCATTGGCTGACCAGCATAGGCTACAAGATCTCCAACTTGCCTGCCTGTGAGTCCTGGTCCCACAGCTGTCACAACTCCACAAGCCTCAACACCTGAAATCAGTTTTGATTTGTAAATAAATTGTGTAAATCCATTAGCAAAGCCCAACCAAGTTTTATATGTAAATATATACAACAAATCTAACAATGGAAATCGTTATCTGATGTCATTCTCTGCATTCTTGTATTAGGTTGTATTGGGTTCAAAAAATATACTCCCATGGTAAAGGTTTATTCGAGAAAACTGTGAAGAAAAACCAAAGTTTTTTAAAATAACATGAAGTCAAAAATTGGCTACAAGTCAATCTTGGTTGAACTTTATCTTCATAATCTTATAAATGCAGCAAAACCTGGGGTGTAGGGAACCGTAGCAGTCTTATAAACGCCTTTGCGGAAGTATACATCAATGAAATTAAGCCCAATGGCCTTGTTCTTCACACGAACCTCTCCCTCCTTTGGCTCTCCTACTTCCACATCTTCCCATTTCAAGACCTAACACCATCAAATTACAAAAATAAGTAAAATGACGATGAAAGTAAAGGAATAATGGCATTTAGCTGACAAAGATGGGAGGTCAAAGACAAATTACAATAAAGATAAATTTTCTTTAAGCAAACTAGACATAAACTGATACTGCCTTACCCACAAAAAAGTAATGGATACTGAATAATCAGTGTCAAAAACTATATATTGTTTTATGATCTACTGGCCGACTTACGTTAAGGATTATTTATGAAGACACTTGATACACTATATGCAAACTGTGAATTGAATTCACCAATCTCAAAATACTTCAACACTAACAGAAATAAAGACAAGTAACCAGTAATTATACACAAGTGAGTTTTGATCATCTGATAAAAATAAAAAGCACAACCCAATAGCCGGCCAATTCAAACATAAAAGCATATGTATGGAAACACACAGAGAGAGAGAGAGAGAGAGAGAGAGAGAGAGAGAGAGAGAGACCTCAGGTCCACCAAGCTCATGGACTCGAATGGCTTTGACCATCTTTGCTGCTGGTGGTGATGCTGATTCAGTGGCAAGTGCTCTAACTACTGATTTATGGGTCCTAAGTGTAAAGGGTAAACACTTGCTCAAATTCTTATTGTTGCTCAAAATCTGTGAAAAATGTCTTGAATTTGGAATGCAGTGGTATGAAGCACACAGCAATTGTGTTGAACAATGGTTCTGGAATCTTATTCTGATTGGAAGTAAACCCATCTACCTTACTGATTTGATCCTTGATTTGTCCGACATTGGAATTGTACGAGGCTGGAAACGAGGGTAGGTGAAGAAAAAGAGACTCAAAGGCCCACATCACAGTAATAAAAGACTTCCTTAATCATATGGTCCTTTCTTGGGCCTATTGGGCTCATTTCATACATTTTGAAGCCCATAAATGATGATTTTTTTGCCCAAATATAGCCCACATTGATCATATGCTTCAAACAACCCAAAAATAATAAAATGTGCCTAACACTGAAACTAACACAAATGTTTCTCCTTCGTCCCAAAAATAATACACACAATTGGCTTACGTCACTCTTCTATTCTTTATAATAGCTGACATTCATAAAACTTTGACGTATATATAATAATATTACTTCTCTCTAAAAATATACATATTAATTTGTCCAATTTTAATTAACGTCACGTAAAATGTACCAAACATGCATCTTGTTCCGGCGGACCAGTGAGGGTGGTCATCACGGACTTTTGCCCCGGAGGACCTTGTGCATCCAGTTTTTCTTGTTTTTATTGCTAGCTTAACAAAGTCTCTTGATGACTGCAGTCTGAGACATCCATTTCATTTGGCACAGCAGCTATCCTGAACATGAAGGTAAACGTTCCTTATTCATTTTCACACACACACCACGTAGCCTTTAAAATGAACAGACCAAACTCATATTTGCCTTTAGGGGATAAGCACAACAGATCCGGACGTTTTCCTATTCTCAAGGTCTTCGTGTGCCTGTGCTGCTTGAGACAATGGGTAGGTGTGATTTACTCGAACCCGCAATACACCTGATTGAACATTACCAAATACCTCTCCCGCCATCTCTAGCAATTCATCTCGAGTTACAGCGTAATTAAAGAGTCTAGGCCTAGTCAAGAACAGTGACTTCACTGCAATGGTTGACAATGGAACCGGATCTGGCGCACCTGATGACTGCCCAAAACTCACCATGTATCCACGAGTCTTCAAGCATGCCAGTGATCCCTGAATACAACAATAACTCCCAATTAAGGATTCTTTGTCCAAAATACAAATTAACAAAAGACTGCCTACCCAGAACTCATTATCTACCAGATTATGTTGATCTGGGAGACCAGTTGGGCTTGCAACATTTGAATAAATCACACAACACACTTATTTGAGGGTGTCTTTTCTTCTTCTCTTTTAATTACTGATTACCAACCCATTTGCACTACCACAATCACAATGTAACTAACTTTAGGGTCTATTAAGGAAGAGTGATTTCAGGTCTAAGAATTTAGTAAATAAAATATAACTAGATTGGCTGATCCGACATAAAAGCCTTTTGTCAAAATCCAACTCCTACTTTAAAGCATTCCGTCTAAATGGAACCCCTCATCTGTTAAAAAATTCATAAACCTGGCTCAAATTAAAAAACAACTGGTTTCATAGGCCTGGTCTAGCATTGAGAAACTTCTGCACCATGTTAAGGGGAAGCCTACTCAAATGTACTCATGCAGAATTTGAACAGTGTATGATCTCTCCCTAAACACCCTTCATTGTGTTTTTGTTCATTTGTAGAAAAAAGGGAGAAGAAAAGTATAGCTTACCTCAAAAGTATCCTTCCCTACAGAATCATAAACGACCTCGACCCCATTGTCAGATGTTATTTCTTTCACTCGAGCAACAAAGTCCTCTTCCTTATAGATTATGACATGGTGACATCCATCCTCCTTGGCTTGAGCTGCCTTCTCTTTAGTAGATACAGTTCCAATGACAGTGGCACCAAGGGCATTAGCCCACTGGCATAAAAGGGATCCAACTCCACCAGCTGCTGCATGGACAAGGACTGTGTGTCCAGGTTCAACCTGGATAATAACACTCAAAGTCAGACCTAAAAACAAAAGCAACATATGTTTCAAATTTTTGAAACATATATAACATTAGGAAAGAGGATGGGCTATGTTAAGCATGCAATTGTAGAATGAACCGAAATTAAGATTGAAGCACTTAGTTGATTACACGTTGCTGGTTTACAATAGAGCTTGTTTTTTAAGGTGTACTATCTTGATGGTTCGGACATTTTACTCATTGAATTCATACTTAGTTGTTATGTTTTTTTTTCTTTCCACAGATTGTCCCGTGGAACGGAATCAAGAAGTGCACCACAAATGAAAAAGTGAAAGAGAACAAGAATGGTAGTTTTATCTTACATCAGATAATGATACGACATGTTTTTAAAATTTATAGTCTCAAAGGAACAAAAATAAATAGGGAGGGAGAGAGAAAGCTCCTCAACTCCCATGAGTGCTCATGATTAATAAATGAAAAAGTCTAACTCAAACACAACTGAGCATACTTTGTTAAAACAGGGGCAAATCTGCCCAAAAAGTTTTACAATGACAACAATAAAGATCAAAACAGTATTAACAGTAATGAAAATTCTCCTTGACATGAAAACTCATAGGTGCATGCTAATAGCTCTGAAAAAATGTTTTGCAATGCCACACGCATATTCAAGGAATATTAAAACTAGCATGGGCTAAAATATCACAACCAGGATGTGGTTATCTCGTGTTTTGTAATTCAAACTATCTTCATTTACAGACTTAATGTGTGGTTAATGACTTCCTGAAATTCCAGATGCTGCTGCATAAATATAAAGCTACCTTGAAACAACTGCGTAGTAGAAACTGAGCTGTCATACCCTTGAGCAAGAGGGATGCAGCAACAGTAGGATCAATGGAAGGAGGAACAGGCACAATTCTGTTTGCAGGAAGGATCTGCTCTTCCGCATATGATCCCATTGGCTGACCAGCATAGGCTACAAGATCTCCAACTTGCCTGCCTGTTAGTCCTGGTCCCACAGCTGTCACAACTCCACAAGCCTCAACACCTGAAATCAGTTTTGATTTGTAAATAAATTGTGTAAATCCATTATCAAAGCCCGAAAAAGTTTTATATGTAAATATATACAACAAATCTAACAATGGAAATCGTTATCTGATGTCATGCTCTGCATTCTTGTATTAGGTTGTATTAGGTTCACCCCAATCGTTCCTAACCATATTTCAAAAAATATACTCTCATGGTAAAGGTTTATTAGAAAAACCAAAGTTTTTAAAAAGAACATGAAGTCAAAAATTGAATAGAAGTCAATCTTGGTTGAACTGTATCTTCATAATCTTATATGGTAAAGGTGCTGTCTTAAGATAAGTTTACTTAAGTTGTGCTTTAGCTTCTAACGTATCTTTGGTTGGAGTAGTTTTAGATGAATCTTTCTAGCTTTCTGCTTATAATGAGCAGGTTCTCTCTTTGTTGTATAATCGAGGATAGCTTTTCCTCTTGATTATCAATACAAATGTTTCTATTCAAATAATAATAATAATAATAATCTTAGAAATGCAGCAAAACCTGGGGTGTAGGGGACCGTAGCAGCCTTATAAACACCTTTGCGGAAGTATACATCAACGAAATTAAGCCCAATGGCCTTGTTCTTCACACGAACCTCTCCCTCCTTTGGCTCTCCTACTTCCACATCTTCCCATTTCAAGACCTAACACCATCACATGATACAAATAAGTAAAATGACGATGAAAGTAAAGCAATAATGGCATTTAGCTGACAAATATAGGAGGTCAAAGATAAATTTTCTTTAAGCAAAACTAGACATAAACTGATACTGCCTTACCCAAAAAAAAAGTAATGGATACTGAATAATCAGTGTCAAAAACTATATAATGGTTTCTGATCTACTGGCCGACTTATGTGAAGGATTATTTATGAAGACACTTGATACAGTATACACAAACTGCGAATTGAATTCAGCAATCTCAAATATGATAGATGAACACATCAGCTCAAGTTAGAATACCCACGTGCTATTCACGTGTTAGTTTGTTAAGCTGTTAGTTACTTAAGCCTTCAGTCTTTACAATTGTATATAAGCTAAACTGTGCTTTGTAATATTGATTCAGTGAATAACCAAACAGAAAAATCTCAATATATTCTCTCTGGATTTCAGTCTTCTTCTTCCTTTGTTTTGCCAAATACCTCTTCTGTTATCAAAATACTTTTAACACTAATAGAAATAAAGACAAGTAACCAGTAATTATACACAAGTGAAAAAAAAAAAAAAAAAAAAAAAAAAAAAAAAAAAGCACAACACCCAACAGCCGGCCAATTCAAACATAAAAGCATATGTATGGAAACCGAGAGAGAGAGAGAGAGAGAGAGAGAGAGAGAGAGAGAGAGAGAGATAGACCTCAGGTCCACCGAGCTCATGGACTCGAATGGCTTTGACCATTTTTGCTGCTGGTGGTGATGCTGATTCAGTGGCAAGTGCTCCAACTACTGGTCCTAAGTGCAAAGGGTAAACACTTGCTCATATTCCTATTGTTGCTCAAAATCTGTGAAAAAATGTCTTGAATTTGGAGTGCAGTGGTATCAAGCACACAGCAATTGTGTTGAACAATGGTTCTGGAATCTTATTCTGATTGGAAGTAAAGCCATTTACCTTACTGATTTGATCCTTGATTTGTCCGACATTGGAATTGCACGAGGCTGGAAATGAGACTGGATGAAGAAACAGAGACTCAAAGGCCCACATCACATGTAATAAAGGATTTCCTTAATCATATGGTCCTTGAACTTCTTGGGCCTATTGGGCTCATTTCATACATTTTGAAGCCCATAAGTGATAATTTTTGGCCCAAATATAGCCCACATTGATCATATGCTTCAAATAACCCAAAAATAATAAAATGTACCTAACACTAAAAACTAACACAATTGTTTCTTAAGCTATGCTACAAACAACATAGTAAATGTGACAACTTTTTACACATACATATTAGAAACAAAGTGTGGACATTTGGATATCATTATGAATTGCTCCTCAAATAGAATTTAAAAACCAAACACGACATAGTTGATAGCTACATCAATTAACCCACAAGATTACCAATAAATTCTAAAGCCAATATGCATATAAAATGTTATGTTCACCACCAAGTTATGTGACATTTTGATCAATTGGGCAGCTCCTTCATTTTTATGTGCAGCAGAAAGTTAATTTGCTGATAAAAACAAAACAAAATTAACCAACTCTCTCTCCTGCCTCTAGGGTGGGAGTAGAGTAGAGTAGGGGACCACTCCAATATGAAAAGAAGCGCGTGACCTCCAAGTTATTTCCTTCCCACGCCACAATTTTCGCTACATTTCTCTCTCTCTCTGTCTACACATTTTTCCAACTATTAAATGCTAGAACATTGTTGTTCCCTACGCTCGACCAAAATGCGCGTCGTCCATGCAGAATCGGCATGTACCAGCTGAAGGGCAAAATGGTCCTGAGCAATTTTTTTTGCTGAAGGGCAAAATGGTCCTGAATTTTGATAAATAAAAAATTTAATTCAAATTTTTTTTTTTGAAATGCGAGAAAACATATATATTCCTACCCGTGCAAAATAATATTTTGTTATTTTCTGTTATGCCGTTTTGGTCTATATATATAGTGCTTGCGGTGAATAGTGTGTGTTGTGTGTGTTTTGGTTGAAGAGAGAGAGAGAGAGAGAGAGGGAGAGAGAGGGTGATGACTGATGAGTGTACGTGGGTTTATATGTAAGTGGTGACTCTGGGTCTTTCTCATTTCTCAGAAGATGATGAAGTACTTGGAAAAGAAGCAAGAGCAAAATAAGGCACCAAGCCCTTGTTTGCCCAGACATGCTCTGCCCACAACTGCCACACCATCGCCCATCTGTTTGCTACTAGGTACACCACCTTTTTCTTCTTCTTCTGCTTCTTCCCTGCTTCTGATTCGTTTTTGGACCATTATCTGCAACTGTTTGATTCATTTTGTGCATTTTTATTGGTTTTGCAGAGGCTATAGATCACATTAAAGTGGGCTCTTACTATGAAATGGACCACTCTAAGCTCCCTCCCAGAACCACCCCAGAACAGCTCAAGGCGGTTCGGGTCGTCATGGTACTCGCCTTCACCAAAACCCACAAATAGTTTCCACTATTCTTGTTTCTTTTTCAGATTTGATTTTGATTTCATATGGGTTTTGAGTTTTGGGTCCATTTGTGTATGCAGGTGAGTGAGAAGGGTGCGCTCAAAGTGGCTTTGAGGTTCCCAAGCATTCACTCTCTCCACACTCACATCACCGAAGGAGGCTACGCAAAACCATTGGCCAAGCAGATTCCAGCGCTTAACGAGAAGTACGTGATGCCAGCAGAAATGGCTTCAGAGGTACTTTACCGGAGAATCCCACCTCAGGAAATTGCAGATCGGAGCAACATTTGGAGCTTCTGGGCTGCTACACCCTCTGCGACAAATTCCCAGAGAATAAGCTCTTCACCGAGCCCAGCAGTCAGCGGTGAGGTCATGAACAGGAATGTGGTTTCCAAAAAGGGTCCATGCTGGTCGGAGCTAAAGTTCACTGGGATGGTGACGTGGGGTAAGCGCCGGCAGGTTCGGTACCTGCGCAGGCACGAGCCTTCACCGAGCTCTAGTACTGACGAAGAAGAAGAGAAGGGGAAGGAGCTAACAGAGCTAGAGGAAAATGGTGATGATTTCTATGTGGATGATGAGAAAGCAATAACTGTGATAGAGGAAGATGATGATATTGAAGAAGAAGAAGAAGATGTGAAAACAGAGGACGAGGCTCCTCCTGTTGTGCCCTGGAAGATGAACCTTAGGAGTAGGAAGAGGAAGCGCCAAGATCACCATAGAAGGCCCAAGAAAACCACAAATAAATCAAAATCTATAACAAAACGTCAAAAGCAGAATCAAGTTGTAGCAGTTCCCGATCGGAGTAACAAGAAATTGGTAAAACACACAGTGGCAAGATGGTCTGCAGGGAGGTGAGGACTCTGTTCTTTATTAGTTATATTAGTGATTTTGATCTTTGTTTAAGAAATCGGGTTTTGTTAATATGTGTTCATGCTTTGATTTGGGTTTAAGGTACAAGGCTGCAGAAGAAAACATGCTGAGGGTGATGAAGGCCAAGGGTGCTAAATTTGGGAGCCCAATGCTGAGGCCAGCGCTGAGGTCTGAGGCAAGGAAGCTGATTGGGGATACGGGTTTGTTGGACCATTTGCTCAAACACATGGCGGGCAAGGTGGCGCCAGGTGGAGCCGAGAGGTTTAGGCGGCGCCACAACGCAGATGGAGCCATGGAGTATTGGCTGGAGAATGCTGATCTGTTTGATATCAGAAAACAAGCTGGGGTTGAAGACCCTTATTGGACCCCACCACCTGGGTGGGAGCCTGGTCATGATCCCACTCGAGACCCCATTTGTATCAAAGAGATTCATGAGCTCAAGGAAGAGATAACCAAGATAAAAAGGTGAACAATAAACCCTGTTAATGTTATTCATCTTTGATGTCCTGTGTGTTTAATGTATAATGTGTATGTGAGTCCCTTAATCTAGCTCTGCTTTTCTTCTTTTTCTTTTGGCAAATTAATCTAGCTCTCTGTTTAAGTTGGTGGTTGTATGTGTTTGTGACATTTCTTGCTGTATATACAGGGTGCTTCATGTGTCCAGGAATAAAGAAGATAATCTAGCTATAGTGACCACGTCAAATTCTTGTTTGACAAGTCTTGACTGGGAACATGATGGTTCATTGATCCACCAAAAGGTGAACCAACAAATTTGGACATTTCAATTTAGTTTGTTCATGTTGATTATGGCTGCTTTAATTAACTGCTACTAATTGTTCGATGGGATTTTGCAGGAGTATGCAGTACTGCTAACAATGCAGCAAAATAAGATTAGAGAACAACTTATGGAAATGTCTCAATCTCTGTCTCAAATGGAGGTACACCATATCATGATATTAATTAATTATCCCCTTATATCTCTAATCGCACACTTAATGTGATCTAAACATATAATTAATTACTTTTTTACTGCCTTCAGTATATTGGTCACTTTCAATTATTCATCAACTTTGGCTGCTTTAAATATAATATTATGTTCAAAAAGTTTGGACCTTTTAACTTTTATTAACTTGTTTCATGGTTCAACTTGATTATGGCTGCTTTAAATAATATTAAGTGCTACTAATTGTCGTTTGTTGGGATTTTGCAGGAGGAGCATGCAGAGCAAATCGTTAAGAAAACTAAGATGGAAGAACAACTAATGGATGTTTCTCAATCTTTGTCTGAAATGAAGGTAGGATGATATAAATTGGCCCCCCTGGTTATCTTAACTTGATATGTCTTAAGTTCATTAAATGTGATATGAATATATAATTAATCACTTCTTACTGCCTTCCAGTATAATGATCAATTTTATTCATTTACACAATAAAATTGGTCTCTTTCATGTTAATTTAGTACGTAGTAGAAGCATGTATGCATATTATAGCATTTGATGGATATGTAGGTTAAAATATTAATGCAGGAACAAATTGGGATCCTGAAATCAAGCAGGGAAGAACCACTAAGTATCTCAGATGCAGCACGGCCATCAGACACTGATCAAAGAGCAGCGACAAAATCAAAGGGTGGGGAGCAAGAAGAAGAAGAAGATAAGCTTGAAGGAGGAGACAATAATGCAGCAGCCACAGCAACTCACGAGGACAAGGCAGCCAAAATACAGAGACTGAGGAGTGGTTTCAGGATATGCAGGCCACAAGGGTCCTTTCTGTGGCCAAACATGGGCATTTCTACCCCACCCTCAGCCTCCTCATCCTCAGCCACCCACTTCATCCCTATACCTCCTCAGCCTCAGTCTGGGTCTCCTGTCAAGCCTGTAGCTGAGAGGCGCCCAGTCAACACCGCCACTTTATGCAAAGTGAGCTATAAACCCTCTGCCTCTCCTATTTTTCTTCCACCTGGGCCCCCCTCCAAGAGAAGTGTCACCGTCACCAACACCCTCCTCATCAACCTTAATGAGCTCCCCAACTCTAACCCTAATAACGTCCAAAACGCCTCTGAAACTAGCACTGCATTGTCTAGGACCCTCACCTACCAGAGAAGACACCATCATCATCAATATCCACGTGTGAGTACTAAGATGTCTCAGCCCTTGTTGTGAATTATTAATTTCCTCTGTTTTTTTTGTCTTCAATTTTTTATTTATATATAGTGCTAATAATTAAGAAGAAAATTAATTACCCCCTTTTCATTTAATGCGTGTGTCTACAAACAGATGTTGAAGGCTAAGACAGAGGACGGGGAAGATGGAAATGCAAGCAATGAGTCTTCTAAGCAGCAGCAGCATGATGAGCCGACAAGGTGGTGCTCTTCTTCATCTCCTTCTACTACTGCCAGTGCCACGTGGATGGGACAGAAATGGTGGCTTGATATGGCAACTCCTAGCCCTTCTGTGGACAACTCTACCAAGGGTTGATTCAACTTGGTCGTTTCATTAATCTTCAGTGGAATGGAAGCTCTATATATATAGATATTATAATAATAGGAAAATATCATTAGGAACTTTACATCAATATTGGGGGGGTTTTTTTATTCACAAAAAAATATTGCGGGGGGTTTACTGGCTTTTTGTCTAAAATAGCCATTTTTGTACTGGGGCACACACGTGTGGTTATTGTGGGAAAGAAAATATTAATATATAAGGAAATGATATATCATATGGACTTTAATTTGGTGAATTTTGGTGGTGCATGTTGTTGGTGGCGCATATGGTAATACGCTTATTTGATTGATATCATGCAGACATAACATAAAGTCTAAAGACAAATAAATTGCGTCCATCCATATGGTAACATCCTTTCAAATTAATGACTGGTAGTGACCAAAAAGGCCCCGGGACCCCACTCTCTAAAGTTTTGTCTTTTGGTCATATTCTCTCTAAAGTTTAGGAATTGAAAACTTGTTCCCCTCTCTCTAAAAGTTTTGCTTTTTGGCAAGTTTGATTTATAAAGGAAATACGCTCAGGAAAGATTGAAAACTTGTTCTTTTCTTTATGAAACAACAAAAGTGTAGGACTTCAACATAAAAGAAAAAGGAATTAAAAAAGGTGTAAAGGAGCTTTATAAAGGCACAGCCGGCCCACATACATCCTAAATGATGTTCAATTCTTATTACAGTATATGTGTTTTGGTAATCTCATTCTCAGTACACTTATGAACTATGGAATCTAAAACAAATCAAATCCTAAAGCCTTGCATATCCACCATTTGAGCCGTGGATGCCAATTTCTTGGAAATTGACACAAAGGGAGAGTGCGGCTGTGAACCTCTCAATATCGTCTCTTGTGTGTGTTGCGCTCAATGTCACGCGTAGCCTGTTAAAAAAGTATCAAGAAAAAGATGTAAAGTACACGAAGAAACAACAATAATTTCAACACATCCATTGTGGAGGGGAACTAAAGTATAGACCCACATTTTTCCCAAGTGTAACAAGTTATATTTCAATTTCCAAACTTTGTTACAAGACCAATCATTTTTTTATATAATAGGTCGTGTCAATTAACCTTTCGACCTCATGAATACAAGCTAGATGGTAGATTTAACTCAACAGGACTGAATCAGGTCAAATAGCAAAGCATCATAATACAAAATGAACAAGATGAGCACAACCCAAACTTGTAAATATACTGTAGCAGAAATGAAGACTTGTCACATACCTGCATGAGTTGGGTGGCACTGTTGGGGGTCTAATTGCAGTCACATGGAAACCAGATTTCAACAAACTCCTGTTCATTGATGATAAACAAAGTTAGATACAGTTGTAGAATGATCTCCAAATCACACAAACAGATAGAGAGGGAAACAAAACTGGCTTGCTTGCAGAGCCTTCTCTTCGCTCCCTACAATAAGAGATATTATGGGACTATTTATGGGGATTCCAGTGAGAGCACGAAAGTCTTGCACCCGATTCCAAATTTCCCTTCTACGCCATGTTTCCTTTCTTGCCACAATAAGAGCAGCTGCATAGTTATATTTGTATTGTTAACAAAGGGAATAACTTCAATAAAGATAAGAAAATAAATGCTATAATCATGGCATGTGAATAATGCAAGATAAATTACAGCCACAGTAATGTAGAAGACTGCTCAATATTATGATATTGTTCCATTCCGTTATGTGAACAATCATACATGGGGCTTACAATACAAGCTTGAGGCAAGCTTGAGCCGGCTCCTGAACTTGGCTCATTCGAGTGATTATTATATATGTTGGCTCTAAAAACCCATAATTTGATATCACATTCAGAACTGGGCTTCTCTCCTAAACCATGAATTAATCTGATACTTACTACGAGATCTACACTCTTTCCTATTACCACTCAGCCAGACTGCCAGTCCTTGCATACCAACCATTTATAATAAATAAAGCACCGGAATCAATGTAAAAGAAGCTTCTGTATTAAAAAGTATCACATATTTAAAAGGGATTATATTCAACTAAAGCACCTGTAACAAACACAATTATATATTACCATGGGCAGCAGCAGCAATTGGTATCGGCGTAGCAGTTGAAAATATAAAAGACCGACCCCTTGATTGTATGAGTTGCTTCCACCTTTTGCTGTTTATATGGAAAGAACCCATTACAAAGAAAGAAATGGAACACAAAAGAACCCATTACTTCAACACCTAAAGTATTAAGTTTTAAAACCAACAGCCACAGTTTCCCTCCTTATTTAGCATAGTTCAGAGAAATTTAGTAACTCAGGAATAGTGCACAGCGTTTTCATTTCATATTTGCTACAACTACTATAAACTGAACATTTACAAATTACAATATCTGTTATCGTTACTAAGCAAAAAGATGGCATGAATACTTGCCTGCATGCTATGAATCCGCCATGGCAACCTGCAGCCTTACTCAAAGTCCCAACACATATGTCAACATCTCTTTCACAATTGTATTGCTCTGCCACTCCGCCACCATTTTTGCCACAAACAAATGTTCCATGAGCCTGAGTCAAAGAGAATATTTTCTTTTTATGACTAAAACCTTATGCCTACATCAAAAGAAAACGAAAAAAATAGACCAACTTTTTCCTGTACGATAGACATATTTAATCAACAAGGACAAGTTGATTTTTGTGTGTAACTGGAGAATTCATTCATAATATAATTAAGACAATCATTGATGCGTGTACAAGATTAACCTTAAAAGGGTTTCACAAGTTCTTACTGTGGAATAACCCAAGAGGACTTACATCATCAATAACTAACAGAAAGCCATGCTCTTTGCGTAGCTTCACAAGCTCAATCATTGGTGCAAAGTCTCCGTCCATGCTAAACAAGCTGTAGTGAAAGACAAAAACAATTCATAAGAAGTATAACAAATAAAATCAATAGGAACACTTTATATGAATGTGAATTTGATCCCAACTGAAATGATGGTACAGAAAGTAGCACTTGCCTATCAGTCACGACGACTTTCTTCCTCATTGTGCAACTTGATCTGCCACAACACAAAATGCATTTCTAAGCTATGGACAGAAGGAAGTACATATCCAATAAGAAGAGGCACACAAATTCAAAACAAAAGTTTAAGACCTACAACAATGCATTAAGGTGAGTCATGTCGCAATGTCTATAGATGAATATCTCTACAGATTTTTGTCGTTCAGCAAGACGAATACCATCGATTATTGACGCATGGTTCAGTGCATCAGAAAAAATGGCAATTTTTTCATTAGTTAAAGGAGTTTTTCCAGCAGCCAAGAGAGAGCCAACATTTCCCAAAGCTACCATCAAGGCCATATTGGCTGCAAATCCTGTGGGACAAAGAAGGCAATCCTAGGGGATAAATTTGAAACAAGATTGCATCAGTTTTCACTTTTGAGCTAAAAAGCCTAAAAAAGCATTTCAATAAACCAGACATAAAGTTAAAAACAACAGAATCAAAGGCTTTAGACCTCCAAAAAAAAACACAATTAAACTTCGTCTAGAAATGAAAAAGGAAATGATGTTCATTGACTGGGAAAGCATGTGTATGTTTCTGACAGTTAAAGCGAGCATAGTCTAAATACAAGTTTCTACCAAATGACCCTTGACACCATGGGCCATGGCCAATAAACAGGAAGAAGAGAATGGATGACAAAGTTCACATAAAGAAGTTAAATCAGCACAGTATAATGTATAAACAGAGCAGCTCATACCTCTTTCTTCTTTAAGTCTGCAATGCATGACTCGAGTCGCCTATGGTAATCGGTATATCCGCATATTAAAGCAGAGCCCCTGGGGCCCATCCCATGTTCTAGGGCTGCCTGATTGAATAAAAATCCTTATTATTACATGGTAACTTAAAGATGCAATCTTTACAAAAGTTATGCAAAAAAGACAACCTTGGAAGCAGCTTTTCCAATGGTAGGATGTGAGCTCAGGCCCAAATAGTCATTCCCAGAGAATAGTAACAGCTTTCTGAACTTATGGGTACCTTCCTCATCTCCTATGAATTCCATAAACGTAATGTAAGTTCAAAACAGAGAAAATTCCACAAAAAGCAAATTGGAAAATAGTTGTTGAATTGAACCGTACCGGAACTGGGAATGTCGTGGAGCCATTTCTGGAACGTGGGTTCAGGAATGTGGACCTCCACAGAGGATCGGTCCCACGGCTGCATTTCATCGAACACATGGAATTCATCATCGACGGGGTTTTGGGCTTCTTGGGTTGGTCCATTTTGGAGGTAAATGGGTCTGAGAGAACGAAGGAGTTGAAGGTGTTCAAGTTTCTGAAGAGCCTCTTCAACCCCATTATCCCACGACCTCAACATCTCAATGCAGCTCAACTTCTGCAATTTGCATAGCAGAGAGAGAAGAAGCCGGCGGCGGGGGTAGTTGGAATGTTGGAGCGTAACGCCTTGAGCAGAGTTAAAAATTCGGAAGAAGCACGGTTAAACCACGTATGTCCTCAACTGCAAAAGGACCAATTGGCCATTTTGGAATAGTTTCGAATGAGAAAAGACAAGACACATTGGGGTCAATTCGTGAATAAAGATAAATATGCAATGCCTTTTGTACCCTGCTAGATTACCATTAACCATTAAGGCCATTATTGATTTTTCACATCTTTTTTGTTTTTTTGTTTTTTTTTATTATTTTTTTATTTTAATTTTTCATTTTGTATTTTTTTTTTTTTTTTTTTTTTTTTTTTTCAAATATTCATAAACGATCTGAAAGTACAAATTTCACAGCAATCACCCTTAGACCTACATATACAAATTTTATCACTCATTTGCATTGATATAATGATATATATATATATGCAAATGATATAATGATATATATATATACAGAGAGCTTCCATTGAGGGATCCCTCAAATAAGCTTATTTGAGGGACACCCCTTGTAGGCCTCACTATGGATTGTATTTCACTAATCCAAACCGTCTATTTTGTAGATACTCATTCAAAGATCATCTCTACAAAAAATCACTTAAATCCGATATCATTTGACCACTCAATTGAGTTATTGAAATTTTAGTACTTTCTTGAAGCACCGTGTTCATTGATTTTGTAAGACACAATTGGATGTCGAAACGGTTTTCGATTTGTCTAATTTTTTGTAAGGATGATCTATGAATGAAGACCTAAAAAGTATATGGTTTGGATCGTTGGAAAAGAAATTATAGGATACCCTAAAGGGCGTCCCTCAAATAAAATTATTTGAGGGATCCCTCAATAGAAGGGGACTGTATATATATATGCTTACAAAGGTTCATAAACAATATGTAAAGACTGATTTGACAACGATCACTCTAGGACAGAAAATAAATAAAATAATATTATATTTAGTTGATGTTTGTTAGGTACGGCGGAATGTTATGGATATGACTAAATCCTAGAACTATTTTGAATTAGTTAGGATTGACTTAAGCTAAATTAAGTACTGACCTACGTTTGGTGCTGCATCGGACTAAGAAACTAAATTATAAAAATAATGAAACCAATGTTTGGTGTTTAGTGCTGTGTCAGACTTAAAAAAAAATTATATTTAAATTTAATTAAAAAATTTAACCTATAAATAAATAAAATAAAATTTTTTTTTGGTCAATTCATCATTTCATTAAACCCACTGGAAAGAGGGGAATAAATTTTAATATTTAATTAGTGAAGCGTTTTCTTCTTCTCTTCTTTTCTTCCTCTCTCTTCGCCACACCTGAAAACCACATAATCAAACTAATGTACACCAATAACTAGCAGAAGAAGATTTGGCATTCCATGGATTTAGTATCGCAAGACTTGATTTTGACGTGGCCCTTGCAATGGCAGATACAAATGTGCTACAATATATTGGGGCTGAGACTCAAAATTCAAATTTCATTTAGCTGATGGCTAGAACCAAATACTTACCCAAGAAACCTCCTTTCAATCTCTACGGCGATGGCAGAGCCTGAAGCCACCCAAAAGATATAGTTGTCGCTGAAAGGCCCTAACCCAATAATACATTTTAGTTCACCTCTTTCTCTATCTCTCTGCAACTGCAAGCCCTACCTCAATTGTAATGCAAAGGGAGAGACCAGAAAAACTTACCTGAGTATAGCTTGGAAGAAGAGCAGGAGTCAATGTTGAACGAAACGAGAGAGAGGCGTTGAAGGTTGTCGGTGTCGGAGGACTCGCGTTTTCCAATTAGCAAACTCGCTATTTTGGGAAGCACGTTTCAGCCTCACTAAATTGGAAGAGCGAGTGGGGCTTTTTTTTTACTGTTGGGACTCTATAATCTCATTTAAGTTGGTCATTTCTCTTATTAAACATGGTTTTCAAGTGTTATTTAACTTAGTCCAATCCAGTGAGCCCTACGAAACATACCCTTAGGGTACATTAATTGAATCTTATAGAGTTATCAACTTTTGGTATCCAAACCAATCAAATCCTAAAGCCTTGCACAACCATTTGAGCCATGGATGCGAATTTCTTGGAAATTCACACAATGAGATAGTGCAACAGTGATTCTCTCAATGTTGTCCCTTGTGTGCGTTGCGCTCAGTGTCACTCGTAGCCTACATGGCAAAAAAAATTACAAATAAAAATGTAAGAATGTACACAAACAAACAACATATTACTATATTGTATATAGACCTTCATTTTCCTAAGTTTAATGAGTTAGCTAGGTTTCATCTTCCTAAGTTTAATGAGTTAGGTTTCAATTTCCCAAGGTACAATCCAAACTTGTAAGCAGAAAGGGGAATTACGAGGAAAGATTGGACACAAAAACCTGCATGAGTTGTGCGGCACTACAGGGGGTATGATACCAATTACATGGAAACCAGATTTCAACAAACTCCTGTTCATTGATGGTAAACAAAGTTAGATGCTGTTGTATAAATCATCTCCAAATCACACACACAAACAAATAGAGAACGAAACCAAACTGAGTGGCTTGTTCAGCCTTCACTTCGCTGCCTACGATGAGAGATATTATGTGACTGTTTATGGGGATTCCGGTGAGAGCACGAAAGTCTTGCACCCAATTCCAAATTGCCCTTCTACGCCATGTTTCCTTTCTTGCCACAATTAGAGCTGCTGCAAAGTTTATATTTGTATTGTGAACATCATGAACCATTCCAATAAAGAGAAAAAACAATCATACCATGTGAGGGAATGTAGAATGGATGTTAATGTTCCGTCAACCATAAGCACCCTAACCAAACAAAATTATACAAATTACCATGGGCAGAAGCAGCAATTGGTGCCGGCATAGCAGTTGAAAATATAAAAGAGCGACCTCTTGAGTGTATGAGTTGCTTCCACTTTTTGCTGTTTATATGGCAAAAAGAGAAGGCTTAACTTCCACATGCAAAGAGATCAACATGCGATAATTCAATATCTCAACACCTCAAGTGTTAAGCTTTAAGAGGACTGGTGCATATCATTTTCATTGTGTATATGTTACAACTATAAACTCAAAACTCAAAACTCAAAATAATTTAAAATTTATATTCTTGTTACAACGGGAAAAGAAAGCATGAATATTTGCCTGCAAGCAATGAATCCACCATGGCAACCTGCAGCTTTACTCAAGGTGCCAACACATATGTCAACATCTTTTTCGCAATGGTATTCCTCAGCCACTCCGCCACCATTTTTCCCACAAACGAATGTCCCATGAGCCTGAATCAAATAGTAGACTTGTTTTGCATCACTAAAACTATACTTACGCCACACAAAAATTGAAAACAAGAGCCAAACCTTTCCTTTCATATAGACAAATTCAATCAAACAGGACTAGTTGCTTTCCCATGGTAACTGGACAATCATTAGTTAGTAATTTAACGACAATCAGTAAGAAGAGGACTTACATCATCAATAACTTAACAGAAAGTCATGCTCCTTGCGTAGCTTCACCAGCTCAATCATTGGTGCAAAGTCTCCATCCATACTAAACAAGCTGTGGTGTGAAAGACAACAGATAAAATCAAAATAGAAACACTTCATACGAAGATGAAATTTATATGGACTGGAATGGCATTATAGGAACTAGTATGCCAAAACAGCATCGCTTACCTATCAGTCACAACGGCTTTCTTCCTCGTTGTGCAACTTGATCTGGCAAGCCACAAATGTAACGTTAAGCTATGGACACAATACTAATGAAGAACATCTCTAATAAGAAGAGGCACACAAAGATTGGACATACAATAACTCATTAAGGTGAGTCATGCCACAATGTCTATAGATAAAAATCTGTACAGATTTTTGTCGTTGGGGGTTCAGTGCGTCAGAAAAAAAATGGCAACCTTTTCATGAGTTAAAAGGTGTTTTGCCAGCAGCCAAGAGAGAGCCAACACTTCCCAAAGCTACCATCAAGGCCACGTTGGCTGCAAATCCCGTGGGACAAAGGAGGCAATCCTAGAGGGATAAATTTAAAACAAGCTTGCATCAGTTTTCAGTTAAAACACCTAAAAGTAGCTAAAGAAATCAGAAATAAAACTTAACTTCTGTAATCAAACAGAGCAGTTCATGCATACCTCCTTTCCTTATTCTTTAAGTCTGCCAGGCCTGACTCTAGTCGTCTATGGCAATCGGTATATCCACAGATTAAAGCAGAACCCCTGGGGCCCATTCCATGCTCTAAGGCTGCCGGGTTGAATATAACTTCTTGTTATGCATGGTTTTATACACATGGTAAATTAAAGATCCAATCTTTAGAAAAGCAGAGTGATAAAGTGACAACCTTAGAAGCAGCTTTTCCAATAGTAGGATGTGAACCCAAACCCAAATAGTCATTTCCAGATAATAATAGCGGTCTTTTGAACTTCTTGGTTCCTTCCTCGTCTCCTGTAAATTCCATAAACGTAACTGTAAGTTCAAAACTGGGAAATTTCCAAAATACAGTTGGAAATGGTTGTTAATTACCCAAAACGGGAATGCCATGGGGCCGTTCTAGGAACTTGGGTTCAGAATTGTGAACCTCCAGAGGACCGGTCCCACGGCTGCATTTCATCGAACACGTCGAGTTCATCTTCTATGGTTTCTTCTGGGCTTCCTGGGTTGCTCCGTGATGGAGGTAAATGGGTCTCATGGACACGAGGAGCTGCAGATGCTCGAGTTGCTGAAGAGCCTCTTCGACCCAATGATCCCACTAACTCATCATCGTTTTCCTTCTCAAGCTCTGCAATTGCAGAGCAGAGAGAAGCGGGCGGGTACTCATAAAATCGACAGTTGCCATTTGAATCAATGCACCAATGGGGCAGTTAGTTTCACTGTTGCACAATAATCATACGCCCCAATATGTTGACTTTTGCTGGCAATTTTCCAATAATTTCGATACGTTGGTGTCACTGGTCATTAAGTAGATAATGTCGTTTACATTACTAAAAAGCAAGGGTAATATTGTCTTTTTACGTTTCAATGCCATTAATTATAAAAAATAAAATAAAAATCCAGAACAAGCACAGCGCGCTCACGCCAAAAGTACTGGTACTAGGCGACGCCGTTTGAGGATATGAGGAAAGAAGCCAAGACAAACCAAGGAAAGAAAAGACACAAAAATATGGGTTTATTATGTAACAAAACAGAGGAGAAAGAGACAACACCACCAAAGAGGAACTTAATTACAAGTGTAAGAACAATTAGCCACACAGCTGAACTCAAGTTTTATTACATAATTTACCACTTCAGTACAAAAACATAAACATAAACATTGCTGTTAACTGAATCACAGCTTTTGCTATAACAGTACATTAACCTTAACAAGTTTGAATATACAAGAATGGAAGTTCATTGCTGGATGTTTTCTGATCTTCTCTCCAATTGGTAAGAAATTTATGGTCTCACATGTGAGAAAACTTTCTGCAACTGAACAAGTGAGTGCACAACACATGATCCAAATTGTTCCGGCACGAATCTATGCAGAACGCAATCCACTTTTGTTTGTCTGAACCTGGTGAAAAATGGAAGTGTTAGAAAGTTTGTTCATTAATCTGACTTATAAGTCCACTGCAAAAAGATGAAAGATGAAGATGAACCTGGTGCCTGCAAATTAGACCATTATGACTTTACGATAGAGGGAACATGCTGGACTTTGTGAGAGTCTTCTCCTTGCAGCCTATCGAGGAAATTTCTTGGCATCTCCTTGAACACTAACTCACGGAGAGTAGTTACGTACTTTATCTCTTCCGGGAGCATCCGTAATCGCCCGCAGCCGACAATTTGTAAACTCCTAATCTTTGGCATTGCACTTTCTTCACCTTCTAACGCTTCCAAAAATTCCAAAAATTCAAGCTCTAGAAACTCAAGTTGAGGAAAGCCATTGGCTGAAAATTTCAGTTTCTTTCCAAGGAAAGAACAACTTTTTAGTCTGAGAACAAATAGATAAGGCAGCTTCTCAAGTATCTCCATAGGATTTTTGTCAAGACGGGAATGATACAAGGTTAACTGGTTGAGATTTGGTGGGAATTCATGTGGCTCAGGCAGCTTTATTATCCCACCTCTCAGATGCAACTTAATGACATAGCGAAGAGAAGAGAGTTGAGAGAGTGATGGAAACAAAACATCAGCAGACTTCAACGACAAGGAGTGGAGGCTTACAAGCTTGGCTAAGGAATCGAAAATTCTTACTCTGTTTGCAGTGAAGCTTCCTTTCAATCCCAACTTTCGGAGACTGATTAAATTGGCGGGGCTGGTTTCATTCCAACTACCAATATGCATGTCTGATAGAGTCTGGAGATTTTGGAGGGTGTCAATTCGCAACTTGCCAGCAAGAAGCCGTGCATGCATGTAAAAGTGGCGTAGGCTTTTCATCTTCCATAACACATCAGGGATCTTCCGAAGACTGAAATTTTCGGCAATATCAAGAGTCTGCAGGTTAGACAAACAACCTATTTCTTCTGGAAGCTCCTCTATGGAGCTATGCTTCAATCCCAAGTACCTCAAATGGATCATTTCTCCAATTTCCCTTGGAATATAACTCACCCTCAATTCTTCTAATTCCAGGACTCTAAGGAGTTTAAAACGTGTACATATATCATCACTGGAAATTTGACATTTGATCTGATCAACTTTAAAGAAGAGGAGCGACCGGAGGTTGGGACTTGACTCTTCTAGGGAGAAAGAACCATTAGAGTAGATAGCATGGTGGCGGGCTCGAGAGAGAGCATGATAACTGGCTGGAGCTACTGTATCTAGATTCCCATGAATATATAGAAATTCCTCTGCCTTTGCCTTCGAAATGGAGAGGTCTCGCATTAAGTCATGTAATTGGCAATGTTTCACTCTTTCATTTGCACTCCACCTTGCTACTTGAACCATATTTCTATCAATCAGCTCATTCAGATATTCCTCCGCAACGTCCTCCATCTTTCCGCCATGTTGTGGGATCAAGCCCTCTGCAATCCACATCCTAAAAAGTTTACGCGCAGAGAATAAGTAGTCCTCTGGAAATAACCCCAAGTAGAGAAAACAAAATTTAAGGTAATACGGCAAGTCATAATAGCTTAAAGCTAGTATTGCTGATACACCATTGGGATCACGGGCTAAGAGTAAGCGGATGGTGTTTAGAACCCTTTGCCACTCACTCAGCCTTCTTTTCCTTGAAAGCATCCCCCCCACCACAATGATGGCTAGTGGTAGACCAGAACATTTCGCCGCAATTTCCTGCCCAATTTCCTCCAGTTGTGGAGGACATACTCTATCAATACTTTCGGTGAATGCTTTTCTGCATAACAACTTCCAACTGTCCTCTTGGCTTCGAAATCGCAGTTCATGGGGAAGGCTTTGGGCATCTGCCTTCTGAGCAACATAGTTGTTGCGAGTTGTAAGCAATAATTTATTGCCACTGCCATCACTTGGGAAGGCCTTCGCAAGACTTTCAAAAGCGGTGGTGCTCCATATATCATCTAAAACAACCAAATAGCGTCTCCCTTGCAAAAGTTTATAGAGCATTTCCTCCAACTCTTCTTCTAACAACTTCGTCATGTCTTTTGTTCTTGTTGCAACTTGTTTTATAATGCTCTGCAGTATGTCTCTTGTTCTAAACTGTTGGGATACGTAAACCCAAGCACGGCAATCAAAAAAAGTTTGAACATCAGCATGATTATAGACTTCTTTAGCACAAGTGGTCTTACCGATACCACCCATGCCTACTATTGAAATTGCTCGCCATTGATCCTCCAGGACAAGGCGTGCCACCAGAGTAGCTATGTCTTCCTCCAGACCAACAATATCCTTATCCTGACCACGAGGAGTTGATCGCCGCAGCTTCAGTAGCCTTTCATTGGCAATGGCATGACTGGTTCCGTCTCCGATACTTCTTATGCCATATGCTTCATGGCTGATGGCAATGTCAGAGATTCTTGTGCGGATATCTGCAAGGTCCTTCCCAATTTTGGTACGCGCTTTGAGAGTGGAAGCATATCTGTATAAAAAGTTCCGCTTCTTGTACTTGAAGGATTCAATTTTTAAGATATATGTGTCAATGAGGTCTTCAGCATCATAAGCAAGATTTCTGACATCAGAAACCCAATTATGTACCTGTAAATCGCTTTCTTGCTTTGCATCCGCATCTTTTAAAAAACACTGCATCCGCTTCAGTTCATCTCTCAGCCGCTGGATTTCTGGACGGACATCCTTGGGAAAATGGATTTCAGCCAGTACATCAGCAACCCTTTCTAAAACAAAAATAACAGCAGCTTCTGCCATGTTGTGTTCGACAGAAAAACAAATAAGCTAATTAGACCTTGTTTGAAATTACAGAGGAACGGAATGGGGAAAAATGTGTTTGTTTGGTTTTGGCTCCTTGTTTAGTGCAGCGTATTTGAATGATTTGGCTGCAACCCAGTTTCCTTGAAGTTGTTGGCATTGCAACTTCCCACTTCATTGTTTAGTATTTTCCACGAAACTTAAGAGAAGCTCGGTACAGTGTATATTATTGTCAACTCGGTACTCCATTTCACAACGCGGACATGAAGACTTAATTGCTTGCACGAGTCTTCTTCTTTCCTTTGTCAACATCATAAGAAAAGCCAAGGAAATAACTTCAGTGGGTTCTTCATTCTAGTGGATGAGCAATGAGCGTGCAGCTACCGATAATCGGACTTGCTAGTCAAGATAGTAAAGACAGAAAAAACTGTTGCAAAAGTTTCAATGAAAACTGGTAAAGAATTAACTCAAACAAGAGGAAAAAGAAAAGCAGTCCACTTAAATTTTATCTCTCTGCTCTGCATGATCTTATTGAGAACCGGCCAGAAAAAATACTCCGAAGATGTGAAAATTTGTTAAAAATTAAAATTGGATTACGCCCATGTTTTTCTTTAGAAAATAAAGACCTTTTGTCACAAATTCACAAAAGCAAATACCTGGACTAAATACAGTAATTAAAAAAGAGAAATCAAGATTATGCTATTTAAAGGGTATAGCCGTGCGGCTGGACTCTTAAAATTATTCTATTTAAAGACTATAGCCGCACGGCTATACTTCTAGAATATTCTATTTAAAGAGTAAAGCCGCGCGGCTATACCTTTCTGTTTAAAGAGTATAGCCGCGCGGCTATACGTTTAAAATATCAGGGAAGGGAAATGGATGGACATAGAACCATGTGCTGAAACTCTTGTCGTTAACATTGGGGACTTGATGCAAGCATGGAGCAATGGAAAGTTAAGGTCATCTGAGCACAGGGTTGTTTTAAAGCAATGCGTTGCATGAAGTGGTAAGAGAAGGGAATCTAAGGGTCTATAAGCCATTTATTTGTGCAGATTATTTGAAGTTCAGAGAAAGCAATGAGGAGGGCAAGTTTGAGAAAGTTGGCTTCACTGTAAAAGAGTTTGCTGGAAATACGTTTAAAATTAGTGTAGACGAATAAAACTGATGAAATTACTGTTAGATGAAATCATAGAGCCTGTGTGATTTATGCTTAGCACAACCAACAGTCAAACATTTAAAAAATCATGAACAGGATGCTGATGCTCTCTGTTGGTGCACGTTTGGGAGGCACCTAACGCCTACACAAGTCAACACCTTTCTGTAAGCATCAAAGCACCTGCAACTTTATTTACATTTCAATTTTCAACCAAAATAAATATAGAAATAAAATAATAATAACTTGCGAGATCTTCCAAATTGGAGCCATTTAAAGCATAAGAGAAATCTAAGAAGTCAATAATACCCTCTCTCTTTTTAACCATAGTACCATTACTATACATACATACTTACATATATATAGGTACACTTCCACTTCTTTGTTCTCAGTCTCACATCCTCAAGTTCATGCATCTAATTAAGAAGTTGGAGACAAAAATGTCGAGCCACCGCGTCACATTAACCCTGATCATGATCACTCTCTTCCTCTCTACAGCATCTGGTGATTCTCATGTGAGTACAATCAATTATCCCACATATTCAGCTAATGGTTTTATCTTAATTCTCAAACCACATCATTATTAATCATTTCTGGATTATGGCATGTTTACTTACAAGTAATATGAATATATACGAATATGTTATAACATTTTATGTTATTTTCGATTTGAATATGTTATATATACGAATATATATCTCAGCAGCATATGATTTTTTATTGAATCTTGATATGCAGGACAAATGTGTGTACACCATTTACATAAAAACAGGGTCACTCATGAAGGCTGGTACAGACTCTAAGATAAGCCTGAGCCTTGGAGACTTCTCGGGCAGCTCAGTATGGGTGCCGGATCTTGAGTCATGGGGCTTAATGAGCCCATACTATGATTACTTTGAGCGTGGCAATCTAGACGTATTCAGTGTACGTGGTCCATGCCTGGATGGACCCGTTTGCCGGCTCAGCCTCACATGCGATGGGTCCGGGGCTCACCCGGGCTGGTACTGCGACCACGTGGAGGTCGCCGCCACGGGACCTGACACTGGATGTTCGAAATCCATGTTTTATGTTCAACAATGGTTGTCTAGTGATGTTCCTCCATTTGAGCTCACTGCTAGTGTTGATGCGTGTAATCCCTGGAATATTAATGCTGTTGCGGATGAGCAGGGGAAATGTGGGAAGTTTGTTGTGGTCAATCCCTCAAGATATGAATAATTATATGACCATTTCAATGAGGAGAGAGGGAGGGAGGGTTGAGAAATATTTGGTGCTTTGTTTTGTTGGGAATTAATTCGATGTTATGGATCCGTTAATGTTTTTGTTCTTAACTTGTATTGCTGGGCTCTTTTGTTCCTAAGTTATTTCATGAAATTATGTTACCAATCACTAACAAGTTTTTGTTAGGACCAAGACATGAAATGAGAATAAAGAACCTCAATCATATTTTTAGTGTAGCCATCCGATCAACAATTCATTTTTAGCATTATATCACTCACCAGATTAAGAACTAATTACTAATTACTTTGTAATTGTATTATAAACTTTTTAATTTAATGTTTTTCTTGATCATACTTATAATTTAAGGTCTACTTGATGAGCTACTACAATAAGCTCGATACATTTGTTTCAATTATTTCGTTGATTAAATCATTGACAAAAGTGAAATTTTGTAATGTATTAAGGTATCCTATTACATCTACCACATGGCGCGAATTCAACGGATTTTGATACTATGCTAACGTATTTTATATGTAAATGCAAAACCAGTAAAAAAGGATTTTATATTTATGGATATTTGGAAAAAATCTAACCGTCGTTTAAAGACAGAATATAAACTCGATGTCAAATTCTAATTGTCGTTTAAAGACGGAAAACTCGATCTTGCCTTTGCAGTTCTGTGCTTATTGGGCCGGGCCTTGGTTGTTAGTTTTATTTCCCCCGTTTCACAATTGGATCTGTCCTTCTATAAATACTTGGATACGCGTCGTCCCGCTCTTGTTTACCAAACCAAAATTTTCGTCTTTCGAGCGCATTTACATCTGGACTCTCTCTGGCACTCGAAACTCGAAGCTTCTCCAATCTCAAGCCATGGAGACTCTCCAATCAAACCCTAACCCTCCTCCAATCGAAGCCCTAGATCCTCAACCCCCTACTTTCTCTAATCTGTCTTCTGAAACCGTACCCTCCTACGATCTCAAACCTCCTCCTCCTCCGGAAACCCTAGTCTCAGATTATAAGGACCCATCTCCACCACCTCCCTCTGAAACCCTAGCTTCCAATGCTCAAAACCCCGCCCAAATTCCCCAGACTGGTACTGAGAATGGTAATTCAAACGACGGCAGCAAGACGCTTGCTCTCAGGCCCGATATCCAAAAGCCGCTGCTGTCGGAGAATGGATTGACCAACACCCATAGTGGCACCGACAGAGATGGCTCCGGCGGGGAGGAGGAGACGACGAGCAGGCGTCGCCGCCGCAGCCGGTGGGACCCTCAGCCCGAGTCAGACAACCAGAGTGGTGGCGGCGAGTCGGGTAGCGGCCCGAGGAAGAGGAAGTCGCGGTGGGCGGATGAGGAGCCGAAGCCCGTGATTCAGCTACCAGATTTCATGGGAGGTATTGAGTTTGATCCAGAAATTCAAGCTTTGAATAGTAGGCTTCTTGAGATTAGTCGAATGCTGTCTTCGGGTTTGCCTTTGGATGATCGTCCCGAAGGTGCCCGGTCTCCTTCACCGGAACCTATATATGATAATATGGGAATTAGGATTAATACTAGAGAGTTCCGTGCCCGTGAGAGGTTGAACAAAGAGAGACAGGAAATTATTGCTCAGATTATTAAGAGGAACCCTGCGTTTAAGCCTCCAGCTGATTACAGGCCGCCTAAGCTTCAGAAGAAGCTTTACATACCAATGAAAGAATATCCGGGTTATAATTTTATTGGTCTTATCATTGGCCCGAGGGGTAATACCCAGAAGAGGATGGAGAAAGAAACTGGTGCAAAAATTGTCATTAGGGGTAAAGGGTCGGTGAAAGAGGGTCGGCTGCAACAGAAGAGAGATTTAAAACCTGACCCTTCTGAGAATGAGGACTTGCATGTTTTGGTTGAGGCGGATACGCAAGACGCACTTGATGCTGCGGCTGGGATGGTGGAGAAGCTCTTGCAGCCTGTGGATGAGGTGTTGAATGAGCATAAGAGGCAACAACTTAGGGAACTTGCGGCCTTGAATGGGACAATAAGGGATGAGGAGTATTGTAGGTTGTGTGGTGAACCGGGGCACCGTCAATATGCATGTCCATCACGGACTTCGACCTTCAAGAGTGATGTTCTTTGTAAGATATGTGGTGATGGTGGGCATCCAACCATTGATTGTCCAGTGAAGGGTACAACTGGGAAGAAAATGGACGATGAGTATCAGAACTTTTTGGCTGAGTTAGGTGGGACAGTTCCTGAATCTGCAACTAAGCAGACCAGTACATTGGCTCTTGGCCCAGGCAATAGTTCAGTAAGCAATCCTCCTTGGGTTAACAGTGCTGGGAGTGCTAGCAGTGCATCATCACATCCAGGCTTGGGATCAGTTGGAATCAAGCCTACCAAGGAATACGATGACACAAATTTGTACATCGGATACTTGCCACCCACTCTTGATGATGATGGTTTGATCCGATTGTTTTCACCTTTTGGTGATATTGTGATGGCCAAAGTTATTAGGGACCGGATTACTGGATTGAGTAAAGGTTATGGTTTTGTGAAGTATGCAGACGTTCAAATGGCTAATAATGCTATTGCAAGCATGAACGGTTTTCGCCTGGATCAGCGAACCATTGCTGTCAGAGTTGCTGGCAAGCCTCCACAGCCTGCTGTGCCTCCTGGACCTCCAGCATCGACAATGCCCACGTACCCTGTCTCTCTCCAGCCTGTTGGTGCCTATCCATCCCAGCAATTTACCCCAGGTGGTCCTCTTGGGAATGCACCACCTACTAGTTATGCGGGTACTCCTGTTCCATGGGGACCCCCGGTTCCTCCTCCTTATGCTCCGTATGCTCCTCCTCCTCCTCCTCCCGGTTCAACCATGTATCCTCCTCCCATGCAAGGTGCTTACGGTGCACGATATCCTCCTCCTCCCGGAGCACCATCTCAACCGGTGACCTCTAGTGAAACACAACAGAATTATCCCCCTCCAGGAGTTCAATCTGAAAACAGTACCTCTATGCAATCTGTACCAACTAATATGTACGGGGGCTCAGCAATGCCACCAAATGGCCAACATTCTTATCCTGCATCTTCGTATGGTTACTCATCTTACTACAATGCAGTTCCACCACCTCCTCCTCCCCCTGCCCCTGTACCTGGTTCAACTGCAGACCAATCACAGAGCATTGGTAATGTGCCATGGGCCACAAATCCTCCGGTTCCTCCTCCAGCTTCTTCTACAGAGAAGACAGCCTATGGTGCAGATGCAGAGTATGAGAAGTTCATGGCGGAAATGACATGATGTGGTCCCTCGGTATTACTCCGAGTTGATAGGTATGCACTGCACATTTTTGTTTCACTATTGGTTATAGAAATTATTTTTGGTATCCTTTGGATGATTATTTGCTTTGCCCATACGTTCATCCACTTGAACTAGTTGGGCCATCCACTTCTACAAAAAATTGAACCGGTAAAAAAAAAGCCCCTCAACTATAGAGACTTTTATATCTGGGACTCAGAAGGAGTTTATTACTTCCTCAGTCTCTCCCTTGCTCCCTCCTGCTTATGTGAGTGGGTGGATGAAGGATGTGTATTGTCTTTTGATTTACTTTATAGTTTTTGAATTTTTTATTTTTGTTTTACAACGGGACTTTCACTTGGTCTTTTCTATATATGAAGGTTGTTTACGGAAAACAGATGATCATGCCATCATTGTAAGTATGTGATTCCCCAGGATAGTTCTGGATATCTATCCCTGGCTCTTGCACAATTGTGGTTCTCATTTTGTTAAGTAATGTCACCGATTTATTCTAATGTGTGACAGAAGCTAACATGAGCCCCCCTTCACCTCCCCTCTGGCTGGAAAGGAAGAAATATTTTATAACGAATACGTTTCTTAGTGCTGTTTCTTTTTTGTTTTGTTGTATCACCCTAAAAGGCCTTGTTATGCAGGGATGTCTTAAAGACGCATGGATAGGATTACATTTATAGTTTCCATTCTTATTCTGGGAGGAGTTACATATTTATATTTTATCTACTGTCAATTCGCACTTACATGAAGTCGCTGCATAATTCATTTATATGTTGCTTTTACAGTACTTGACACTTCTCCATTGCCATTATGTAAAATTTTGACAGGACTGATGTTTCTTGGAGCTCTTGTGAACCTGATTTCTTACCTCTTGCCATGACTTTGTTGAAGTTTGGGACTCACATCTTTAACCTTGCTGTAATGTTATGACCTTTGCAGAGACTTGGGCTGGAACTTCGGTTGATCGGTTTCATGTTGGAAAAGTCATTTTTAAACAATATGATTCGTTTTATTTGGGAGCTTATGTTGCACGTATTTTTTTTATTTTGCTGGTTTCTTACTAATGTCTCTGTTTCCAAGTTCAGTCTGAACGCCCACTATTTGGCACTGATGGTTTATGATGTTATGTTGATTTTGTGGGTTGCATAACTAGTTTGCTGTTTGCCCTAACTGTTTTGTCTCTCTAGTTTTTATTGTAATTCAATTTTTACCTTGAGGACCCTAAGTTTTTCCAACTGCCATGGTGCTGAAGCTGGTCCAATGATGCAGTTATCATTCCATTTTAGAAGGTAATCATGCCTTACAACTTGACATTCTCGGTAGGTGGAAGATGTGCCGTCTTATGTTTTTCTTATATTAACTGCATTTCCATATGATACAATGGGATTTGATGTCCTTTTCCAGTTTTTCTTTCGCAGGTAAAAGAAACCATTCCTAATTGGTTATAGCTTATTTTTTAATGTCCAGAATTTTGGTGATGTCTATGGTTTGGCTTCATTAATTTTTACAATTATATTGGCATCTTAAAAAACCTAACTCCTGATTATAGCTTATATTGTGAAGCTTTGAGTGTTGCTATGTTTTGTTGAGGTAGAAAGAGGTCCATGTCAGTGTGTTCGAAATAGTCCATATCAGTGTATTCGAAATGATCCATGTTGTTGCAATTAGAAGAGAGGCTTAGGCTACAATGGATTTTTGTTGGTTTTGGGATGAACAATGGCTGATAAATAGTTTATTGCAGTAAATTTTTTCTGACAACTGTATTTGATATCCTGCAACTATGCTGATGAGGATTGGGGCAAGGAGTTGGGTTGTAGCATTTTGACAGACTAGTTGTTAGATTTAAGTTTCTGATTATAACAGTGCCCTGGGGCTGGAGATTTTAAGTAGAACATTTTCCAATTAAGGCTCTTGGACTCATATTAGCCTATTTGCCATGCATCTAAGGTCCTTTTCTCTTTGTCCCAATAGTTTTGTAATCCAGTTGAGTGGGTGATTTGTGATTGATTGGTTACTGTTTTCAAGGGTTGGACAACAAAATAGCTGACTGGTTGGGATGGTGGGTTTAAGTTCCTTTTTGTTTGCATTTTTGGTCAGCAGTTTAAAGCATGAGTCAAAACTCAGTGCTTGGCTTTGGTTGCTATTTTTTCTAATCTGGTTTCCTCCCTGATTTAAATGAAGAGAGGAGTTACATTTCAACTTTTCTCTTCTTTTTATTTTTCTTTTACTTTGTTATTCTTTTATGTTTCTTTTTACTCTCTTCTTGTAACTTAAATGGAAATTTATACTGTTCTACGTTCTCTATGGCAATTGCTGTCTAAATGAATCCAGCTTAGGAAGTCAAAACCAGCAATGGACTGGTTTTTTCAAATCCTATGAGATGATTGTTTTCGTGAGGTTTTCTTACACCAATCATATGATCATCATGGTCCTTCCACTAATTAGCAACTATGAATACCTTTGCACTTATATCGATTATTTTGACATGTGATTTGTGTATGTGTACAGTAAGAGTGTGTTTGTATAGGAATTTACATCTTAATTGTGTCTTGAACATTTGACCAATCTGACGGCCTACAGAATTTTTGTTTTAATCCCTGACATGCGTGGCCTCCATCAATGGTGAATTACTAACCCTGTCTGCAGATGAGAGCATTCACATCACTCGGACTTAGTTAATTTTTCAGGTTAAGTGATGTATCGAAGTTGAGTTGATCAACCACTGAATGTGATGTTCACAATGCTAATGCAAATGTGTATATATATATACTAGGCAGTGAGCATTTACTTTTACAGGATATTTCATTATCAAATTTATGCAAGGCGGATGCTGTTTCTAGCTTTGCGGATCCTCATGGATGAAGCCACTAGATAAGATACATCACAATTATAGTGCAATTTCGAGTTAAAATCACATCCCAAAATGGCCTTCTTAGAATCATGTTTCTCTTCTTGCCAGGCTCAGGGCTGTCAATGGGCAGGCAAATTGCGAATCTTGTAGGCTGCTCTTGTACAATCACAGCAATATTAACCAGTTTTCTAAAAGTTCTGGCTTCATTCTCAGCTTTTACTTGAACGTTCAAACCCTATTTTGTTATTTCAACCGGCCAGCCTTGTATTCGTAGGAAATGAAATGGTATGGCAGCCTATTCTGAGTTGTATTGTGTCTATCATGCGCGGTTTATGGTAGAATGAGAGATTGGATCCTACCCATAATTTGAATTGAACTTGGAATTTACCACCCCTCAACTTTTAAAAGGGCTGGGGTTGGGTTGAAGTGAAGACACTTTCAAAGAGGTGGAGGTTCGCTATTTTTTCAGCAGTTTCTATTGCTTTGTTAAATAATACAAGCGTGAAATAAATCATTCGTAGTCAAGCAAGCGTTTAACCCCGACGGGTTTTAACTTCACCACCTTTTCATTTCCATGCAGTTGTATTGCTATATAACTAAGTTGAGGATGTTGCAGAGAATCGTAGCTGCACCATGGTAGATTTCTAGTGACAAAAAAAAGGGCTCCCAAAGGAAACAAAAAATAAAAAAAGGGGCTCCACATGAATTCACTGATGGAGCTGCCAAGAAAATCATTTTCTAGTAGTGAACCCTAATTCTTTCACCCTGAATATTAGAAACTGCTAGAACGGCTTGTTATGGTGATGACTGAGGGCCTAGTGAAACCACTCGAGATGCTCACCTTATGCTCACCTTCCTTATTAATCTTTTGGGCATCGTTTAGTTCGCGAAAAAAATTTGATGAGAAATAAGAGTACTTCCACTCATTTGCCATGGCAAAGAACAAGGCAAGACAATGGATGTTACTATTCACATGAATAGTGGCAGTCCTTGCAAAAGGCTTGTTGTGCTTCCATCTATTGCCATGACAATCACTATTCACATGAGATATGAGAAGATGAATTTGTCTAGAGTTTTAGTGTTGGAAGTGAAGAATATGGTTAGGTATTTATTTAAAAAAATTCTGAAAATTCTGGTAATTTTTTAGATTTTTATTTATTTATAAATTTTGTGGCTAACTTCAGTAAACCCCAAGCATGAGCTAGGGCTCATTTTGCCTTTGGGGTTGTCCGGTTTATTGGGACCCACCTCCTGCCCAAGCTGCTGAAGCCCACTAGAAGCACAACATTGGGCTTGAGCCCCCTCCTCTCGAGCCAAAATGAACCAGAGGAAGTGCTCTAATATCCCATGTTTTTTCCTCTTAGAGCATCCATAATCATGCTCTCTATTTTTTAGTTAAATTTTAGCTAAAAGCATATAAAATTTATTTGAGGAGCTTTGTATAAAATTTAAACTTCAATCATACTCTCTAATTTAAGAAGTCATAAATACTATAACTCTTTTTTGATTGGGCCATCTTTATTAAAAAATAAAATAAAATATAGTTTGCATTAAATAAAGGTTTGAAATACTCAATAAATAAAAGCAGCATTAAATTATAGGGAGCCACTATGAGTCATTTCTCTTTCCTTAGATTTAGGAGTTCCTCTCTCTATTTTAGGAGGTAGATAAGGAGTGTTTGTGCAAATAATCTCACGGGAGAATATTCGCTTCTAGATCCTTCAACCTTCGATCTTCGTTCTCTCTCTTCCTCGATTCCTGTAAAACAGATTGGAGTAAATAGACCACACCCGGGGGGTGTTGGCCAAAGGCCCTCCGATGCCTAAGTTAGTTCGAGTGTTTGTAGAAAAACAATAGCTAAGCAAAGGGTACGGAGTAGTGTTTATGTAGGGTGTGAACCGGGCGGCCGGAGCCGTGTGTGGTGGCCGGAGCCGTGTGGAGAAAATATGGAGAGTGGAGAGGGAGAAAGAGCTTCGGGTATTTTTCTCGGGTATAAGGAGTAGGTTTAGATGTACCTTGAATGATGAATGAAGTCATCTATTTATAGGAGCCTCGGGGCTAGGGTTTCGTAGAGAATATGCTGAGTTTATTCTCTACCCAAATTCGTAGGGATCGAGTCGGACTGAGATAATATCTGATTTAATGATATTATCTCTTTTTATGGAGATAATATCTGAATTAAATGATATTATCTCTTTTTATGAAGATAATATATGAGATAATGACATTATCTTCTCTTTAATATGATAATATCTTAATTAATGATATTATCTTATTAAATAAAGATAATATCATGTTAATTAAGATATTTATCCCAATTAATTAATTGGCCAGATAAACTGGTTCAATTAATTAATTAAAAGAGATAATCTTTTTTTCCACGTGGCGCGCTGTGATTGGAGACGAAAATACTTGCTCCCACAAGGAGCATGGTGGAGTTGTATTTTTATAATTTCTCCCTAAAATTTGTCAAAGAATGTGATTTAGGGAGCCCATTATGGATGGTCTTAAGCTTTTCTTTTTTCCCCAATAAAGTTACAATAGGAATTTGGGTTTTTTTTTTTTTTTTTTTTTTTTTTTTGGGAAGTTCGAGTACCTAGTTTGCCGAAAGGAATGTGGGCTTCATTAATGACAATTCATCTGTTGACACGTGGCGCCACTTGTTATTCAAGAAAATTCCCACGGTGTTTTTTTTCGTCAGAGAAAATTCCCACGGTTAAGTATTGAAGTTTAAGGGTTTCTATCAAACAACAATTAACAGCGTAGTTGTAAAGTCTTTCGTTTCTCTTCATCGCCAAGGTTCGAACCTCGCCGGTTTCCTTTTTTTTTCCCTTCCCCATTTTTTCATTTTTCTCCTTCTTCTTCGTCCAGAAAAGCCATGGATAAGGATAACGACGGGTCATCTGGTCGTCCGAGAACGGTAACAACCAGCTCTCTCTATAATCAATGTTCTTCTTCAATTTCACTACAATTCCATCTTGGATCTGAATTCTTGCCCTGATTTTTTCTTGGTTCTTTTTATTTTCAGCGTAAGTTTATACCGAAAGGTCGCAAAAAGACCAGAGCACCTGTGCCCACACCGTATTTCTCAAAAACCCTTCCCTTCAAATCCCATTTCATTTCATTTTTTGGAAATATTTAACATGAATTTTTCTTTTAACGTTTTGTGCTGTGAATCAATGCAGTGAGGTTGGTGATAATGACGATGGTGAAGAAGCCAGAAAGGCCGAGGCTCTGTTTCGTCAGTTCAATGTAAGCTTGCCTTTTCTTTCTTTAACTAAACATTTTCTGTCCGTAATGATTTTTTATGCTCAACAATTTCTTGGTGTGTGTTTTGATGGAGTTAACTTATTCATTTGTTATTTGATGTTTTTGGGGCTGTTTAATAAATAATGGTGATGTAAAATGTAAATTTTCCTTTTTGTCTTCTTTTTTAAATTATTATTTAATTTTTTATTTATAAAAAAATTAGCTTTGGGATTGATTAAAATTAACTAAATACAAAAGGCTCTGTTTGGTTGTTCAGAAAGGGTTGGCGGTTTGAAATCTACAGATTGGGTCGTGTTGTGTGTTTGGTTGCGTTATCAAGATAAGACAATATGGATATTTTTGGGTTGGTCTATACTTTTGTTTTGGGGATACTTTTGGATATCTATACCGGAAAGAGAAGGAAAGACAACAAAAGATTTTCCTTTAGGGTTGGCAGAAAAGATAAAATGAAAAGGCCAACTTGATGTTGGAGATGGAATCACAAATTTTATTTTCTTCGTTCCTTGTTAAAAATGGAGGGCAATCTTGTTTGGTGAAAAATGCAAGTTTTGATTGATTGTCAAGGCTCTTGCAAGATGAGCTTTAACTCACTTCCAATAACCCATTTGTAGCATTTTGAAAGGAAAAAGAATTCACCTTCCATGCATGTTCACTTGTTCAATTGATCTCAGCAGATCAGTAGCCAGCCTCCTTCCCCAGTTTTGCCAATATGTGCAGCTGAATGTGATTGTGAACTTTATAACCTTGAGTTACTCTTACTCTTTTCATGATATCTATTTTGCATTGGAAATTGTCAATAGACTGTGATATTGGATAATTCGGTTTTATCATCTTTCAGTAATGTATATATACTGAACAGATAAATGATTTTTATCCTTGCATTTACAGGAGAATCTCCAAAGACGGGGGCCTAAAGTCGAAAAGAAATGTAATTTCTCATTAACTCTGCTTTCATATTATAAACTTGACATATTATCTGTCATGTTGCTTATAATTATTAGATTTTCTTTAATACTATAAGTAGTTGTTCTCTGCTTGTTAAATTTCATAGGAATAGGAAAGCATGTTCTTGATGGCTGAGTAGCTGAATAGAATGGATATTACCAATCCAAATATCCAGATGGAGAGGAGTCTGAACTAGGTTAATTACTTCTTAAGATTATATTGTATCTGCTTTCGATTGACGTTTGCTGTTCAAACTGCAGCTTCAGTGAGAGTTGCATTTGGTCCTGGAGCAGATACATCCTCAACATCTATTAGAACATATGGAACTGCAAAGGATGGTACTGGCAAAAGCAGCAGCTCAGTACTCGAAGACTCTGATGATGATCAAAGTCTACCAACTTTGCCTGAAGTTGGAAAAGATGTGTCCATGGAAGATGCTACTGATGTAGCACCTCTTCAGACTGTGAAGCAAAGATACACAGAATGTTGGGTAAGAACACAAACCAAACACCCCCTCCCCAAATGTAACTCTCACTACATCTCTCTCTCTTTGTATCTTCTTTCTCTCACCAAGTATCTGGCTTCTCTGGTGCTTTTACAGGATTCTGAGACTACATACTATCCTACTACTCTCCCTCTCAGGAAGCCCAACTCTGGAGACCCAGGTAGTCTTTTTAATGGCACTTTTAATAATCTTAATCTTGTCATTCCTAGATCTTATGATTTTTGCATTAGCTAAAATGTAATAATGATTTTCATTCTCATCTCCACTCTAAGTGTTTACCGTTTGCTTGTTTTTCTTTTAGAAGTCCTTAATGAGAATGAATTTGGGGAGGATGCTGAAAAAGAGTATGATGAGAGCACTATAAACCATGCTGCAGAACTTGGGCTGCTGGTGGGTATTAGATTAGTAGTATTAATGATAAACATATCCTCTCTGAAATCATAATGTTAACCCTTAACAGAGTGATATATTTGATGGGATGTTACTAAAATTTGTTGACAGGAGGAAAAAGTGGAAGCAAGGATGTTGTTTGTTCAACTTCCTACCATTTTGCCACTGACCAAGCGATCAGCTACTGCAAAGGGAAAAGAGAAAGTTGGAAGCTCAACATCACTGGAGAGCACAGGTGCTCCAAAGAAGGGGTGTAGTTTGGAGGAGCTGCCCGGCGGATATATGGGTAAAATGCTAGTCTACAAGAGTGGAGCAATCAAGTTGAAGCTCGGAAATACCCTCTGTGATGTGAGTCGTAGCCATTCGCCTTAAGCTAAAAGAAAACCATGATTATCAGTATAAAAAATTTTATCATTGTTTTTTCTAGTCATATATATGTTCGTTACGAGCTACATTGGAGATGTTATGAAAATATTCTCTCTTTTGTGTTTATGGTATATGCAGGTTTCACCTGGTTCAGATTGTCTATGTGATGAAGATGTTGCGGTAATCAACACTGAGGAGAAGACATGTTGTGTTCTTGGAGGGATCAGCCACCGAGCTGTAGTAACTCCTAATGTAGATTCCCTCCTAAATGTGATTAGCTTGGATTAAGTGCAGCGATTTTAGTTACCCGAATTCGAATTATGTGCAAATTGAGGTGTAAATAGGGGGAATTAAGCACATGAGAAACATGGTAATGGTAGATCTGTAAAGGGAAAAGCTTAGTCTGAACATATTGCTAGAATTGCTGACGGTTCTAACTGATGAAATGTGAACGGTTGTGGTAGGTGCAGCTAGTAGGTGATATTGGATCTATTTTAACCTTGACAAAATTTCTAGTAAAAAGACCAGGATATTATTCTCTTTCAATGATCTTCTCTTTTTCATTGTAAAATTCTAATTTTTACGAAAAAGATCCAGGTGGTACATTTTACAGGTAAACCCTAATATGATCAGAGAGAGGATCCATTATTATGCATCCACCTAATCTATTGCAAACCATGGAAATCATACTTAAAACTTTAGGACCACCACCCAATAACCCTGTTTTAAGGGCTTGAGAATGCAAGTAAAACTTTCTTGGCAATGAACAAAAAGTTAATGATCATTCATCTGCATATTCAACAAAACATAGCTAAATATCCCACAAATCCCCATATTGCAGGCAACCTGCTAACTCCCATATCCCAGCTCTGGACGTTCATAACAAAGCATTTGAAATATAAAATGCATAACAGTGCAACGGAGTGGAAAACTTCAACAGCAAGTCATCCATCCAATGGGGATATACTATCTGTGATGTCGCCGGATTAGGGTCAAGCCTTGTGGCTTCGAGTAACCACCACAACCAAGAGGACCACAACAGAGAGCATAAACGATGTTCTCAGCTTCTCCTCAAAGCGATTGCTAGCTCCTGCATTCACCTTCTCACTGCCTGGAGGTTGAATTAAGTCACCCAGGACCTTTGTAATTTTCTCAATTACTTCCATGACTTTCGCCATGGTGTTTTGGAAGATCCACTTCACAATGTTTGTTGCTTTATTTTTATCATCGGCGTCCTCATCGGGACTCTGGGAGCTATTGTCTTCAGCTGCATATATGCAAACCAGCATTAGTCATGTGTGCATTCGTTGAACTTGTGAGCATTGAGAAGTCATCTCCCAATTCCCAATTATTACATGATTTTCAGCTTAGTTAAATTAGAAGTCTAAAATTCATCAAACCCTCGCTATGTATTTTCAATGGAAGAATTGTCCCGGCAACGAGCAAAACCTGATTTCAAGTTTATTGCTCTAAGCTACAAAATTCATCTTAATCTCAACCAGGGAACATACATTAACCAGAAAAACAGGTAACTAAAGCCAGGAAAACAACACCTAAAAGAGGCATCAACATATAAGATATAACAGAAGCTTAAAGATCAAAAAAACTATTATAGTCCTTAGTGAAATTCATATCATACCAACCTGCATAGAAAGATTCCCTGAGCTCCCGCACCACCTCATTGCTCATCACAGCATCCCAAACTGCTCTATCAGATGACAATGAGATCACCATTCTCTACACAAGAAAATCAAAATACCCTTACCATAATTGTGCAAATTTCATATGATGAGATTAGACAACACAAAAACAGGATACAGTATATTTCACCCTCTGCAAGGCAGGAAGCAAAAAAACAGCAATCATCTTTTGGAGTGGTTTGCAAAACAAATAATTAATTGTACAGAGTCAATGGTCTAAATTGTTAAATTTATTTCTACTATGCAAACTACTATTCAGAAAATGAATAAATAAATAACTCTAATCTCATATAGTTTCTTTCTAGTAATATAAGGGTCAACAGAGATAGGGACCTGCACGGATGACTCAGTCTGCAATAAATGGAAAGCATCATAAACTCTCTCAGAAGCATGAGGCTGCAACATCTTTGAATTACATAGATACGCAGAAGGCTCCATCCAATCTAACTCTGACCCAACTGAGGACACTCTGTCCACCAAACCAGCTGAGGCACTTGTGATTTGATCAGCCACATCCCTCTCCAACTCAGAAGCATATTTATCCCTGACGAACTGGGCATGAGAAGGACTGAAAACCCTACCAATTTCATGAAACAAGGCATTGTTAGTAGTATAAAATAACAGAAATACAAAAAACCAAAAAGGATTGTAAATTGTATAAAAAACAAGAGTATGAGTTGTTTACTGTTGAAGGGCAGAGACAGCGTTTTGAACTTCATCCCTGGAAGGAACAGGCCCAAGAACAAAATCCTCAAGAAATCCATGTCTTCTCTCATCATCTTCTTCACTGCTCCCATTATCCACAGTCACCCAATCAATGTCATCAAAATGAGGAGAAGAAGGCCAGCTGGGTACGCCAGAATTGGCAGACAGAGGAAGGTTGTATGAAGCAAAAGGTGAAGTGGGTGAAGAGAGAGAGAGGTTATTGGAGGAACTAGGTTTTTGGGTGTGCCTAGAAGTTGAAGTAGTTGCAGTAGTGGTGGTGTTAGTAGCAGAAGAATTAGAATTAGAAGACGAAAGGGGTTCTTGAATTGGTGGGCCACCAGCAACACTTCTTGTGACTGCTGCTCTGCTCACAGCCCTGAACATGCTTCCTCCTCCTCCTCCTCCACCTCCCATGCTTTTTCCACCAAACATCATCTTCAGAGTTTCTTTTCTTATCTTTTTTCTTCACAAACCTTCTCTCAGACTCACCCTGGATCTCTTGTCTTCTTCCTTTTCTATGCAATTGTAATCTAATCTAGAGGCAGAGTTTGTGGGATCCCTTTATTTGTCTCTCTGACTCCTGCTTTGTTTGATATTCTCGAGGACATGAATGGATAGGGTTATATTAAAATGGAATGGTACAAAAGTTCCATTGGCGTCACACTTTCTTATTTCTTGAATTGAAACTGTTATATGAAAATAAGTAAGGTTCTCCCTGTCTGCTGTCTGTCCAATTTTTGGTTCTGAGTGGAGGTGGCTCTCTCCGATGTCTTCTTGATTATTCTTTTGCTTGGATATACATGTCGTCTGTTGTTGTCATGTTCATAACTTTACTCTTAACAAAAATGCTTCCCAAAAAAAACAAAACAAAAAAATGCGTTGAAATATTTATTTTCTTTGCCAGGAAATGCGTCGAAATATTTAATATTAGCTTTATTATGCTGCGTGTAATTATGGTCCAATTTCTTGTTGTTGGTTAATAGTTATGATGAGGCACCTTACTCCAACCCTCAATCAAGTTTAGCGTCTTAATTTGTCTCTCCATCGTTTGTTAAGTCGGTTATTAACTTTATAGAAATCGATATGACTTCCCTATTTTTCTTTTTTCTTTTGGTTATGTAGGAGTCACAACATTGATTTTGACGGGATTTTTATGGGACTTGACGGTAAAGATAAAGTGAGACAGAAAATATAAGGAACATGCTTTCAAGAGCACTACAATGATTTAATCCTTTATATTTTTTTGTAAATGCATCTAAAATAAAAAAAAGTATTTTTTCCAAGGAAATTCCATTGTCCCCTAACCCAACCCAACCCTATATGAAACTTGGGTAACCCAACCCAATACAAAAATTCTTACACAAGTTTGGGCTGCAGAAGTCTAGGCAGGCCCAACTTGGCCAACCCTAAATTAGCCCTAACAAAGTCCTCGCAGGGTACTTTGGTCATTTGAAAAACCAACACTTAAATACTCTAAAACCCTGGACCCAGAACCTATATATAACAGAACTTCTGCTTCTCTGTCGTAAACTGCAGGCGGAGGAAGAGAAAGCGGTGGCTGTATACTCTGTAGCAAAGCAATGGGTACGTTATTTTCTGCATACATCTTTTAATCCTTCTGTCTGTATCTTTTTCAATGCACGCAATCATAACTTGTTGCGTATTGCAGAGAGTCTCTCTGCATCAATTCAAAGATTAGTAACATCACTGAACATTTTACCATGTACAAATAAAAAAAAAGTTAAGATTTATTGAAAGATGAAAACCAAATATAGGATTTGAGAAACTGACCTCCTTATTTTGGTTTGCAAAATGTTCATTTCATGAGTTCTTTTAGGCGTAAATTAACAATGGAGAAACCAACTTAAAGGAAATTTTGTACAATGTCGACTTATTCTTCACTATTATTGCACTCGTGAGTGCAATTTGGATGAGTTTTCAAATAAAAAATGTGAACATCTTTGAGCTGTTACGGGCTAGAAAGAGTACGAATTATGTATGACTTGGATTGAGATTAGGTTGGATCAAATATGAATATCTTGCAATTTAGAATGAAAAAGTAGAGTTTTTATTTTGCCGTTTGTTATCGCTTTTAATTTATGTTTTCCTGGGATTATTGTTTTGAATGTGATGTACATTTTGTGGTTTTGATATTATTAGGATATTACAAGTACACCTCAGAGTTAGGGAGGAAGAAACAATCGGATGTTATGAGGGCTCTGCAGAGGTTGAGAGCCTTCGAGTACCGCCACCAACCTTCCATTGTGCGTGTCACTCATCCCACCTGCCCCGACAAGGCTCACCGCTTAGGTTACAAGGCCAAGCAGGTCACTACATCATGCTCTTCATATCTGACATTCATCCATTACAATAACTCTTCTACTTGCTGCTGGCACTTGTTATTTTTGTGACTAAAGTTGTCCCCTTTACAGGGCTATGTTGTTTATCGGGTGCGCGTGAAGCGTGGTGGGCGTAAGAGACCAGTTGCTAAGGGTATTGTCTATGGTAAACCTACCAACCAGGGTGTTTCCCAATTGAAATTCCAGCGTAGCAAGCGCTCTGTTGCTGAGGAGCGTGCTGGCCGCAAACTTGCTGGTCTCAAGGTTCTCAACTCTTACTGGGTTAATGAGGTACTATGCACAAGGTGCTTTAGCTTGATTGTATTGTATTCTTACATTAATTATAGAAAACTAGAAATATTTAGTGATTTGAATTGCACATTGTTAATGTTATAATATATATCTTTTGACTCTGTTTCTTGCAGGATTCGACATACAAATACTTTGAGGTGATCTTGGTTGATGCTGCTCACAATGCCATCCGCAATGACCCCAGGATCAATTGGATCTGCAACCCTGTCCACAAGCACAGGGAGCTTCGTGGGCTCACTTCTGCTGGAAAGAAGAACAGAGGTCTATGTGGCAAGGGACACTTGCACCACAAGGCACGACCCTCCAGGAGGGCAAACTGGAAGAGCAACAACACCCTTTCTCTTCCTCGCTATCGTTGATTGTTTCTGACTTCAAATTTGCTTGTGTTTTTTTAATTGCCCTAGTTTCATCTTCTTCGGCTTTTAGGGATTGCAAGAGACCAATTTGCTTTTAAATTAAATTTATATGGTTGCGTTGAACATGGCTAATAATAATATGATGCTTGCGTTTAAGCTGTTAAGTTTCTTTCTTGTTAGACTGCTTCCAATTTTCTTTTCTTTCACCTATGGTTGCTCTCGCTATGTTATGAATTGTGAGTTGGTTTTCTTTGTTTGGGTATTGGCATGGGTTTTTAAACCAAATGGTTTGGGATTGGCCTTCGCATGGGTTTTTTAACCAAATGGTTTGGGCTCTGATATGATAATGGGGCAAACCAAAGCTCAGACCAAAAGAAACAAGTAGTGTACGTACAAGTTGAACTGCTTTTATTTTTGTTTTGTTGTGTTTCTTGGTGGGTTGCTTTTGCTTTATTTCTTTTAGATATAAGAATTCTGCAGGGAAAGAATTTGCATAGTTGGATTGGATCCACCATCTGCAAGGCAATCATTTCCTTGAGCTCCTCCACCAATTCAACCACAACCACGCTGGCACTGCTACTTGGTGGGAAAGCATCAGCATAGTGGGTTTGCTTTCCCTCAAGTCTTCACCCTGTCTATCTTTTGAGTCTTCAACAGTACTAAAATGTCAAATACCAAAAGACTTTTTGCTGCATTTGGCATTTGAGAATTTGAGAAACAAAACAAACCCCTTGATGCAAAAACCAAAAACTATTGAAGATCAATTCAATAAGCTAGGGCTGTGTCATGAGCAAAAAGGTTATCCTTACGCGTTTAACAATCATGAAATGTAATGACTTAAATAATGTTTTTTGGACACCATGTGAAGGCAAAGAAGCATGAAATTAATTGAAAAGCAAATATCTAGGTTGACGAGTGATGAGTTAGAGGAGCCTGCCTTGCCTTAGAGAGAGAGAGAGAGAGAGAGAGAGAAGCAAAGAAAGAAGAAATCAATTGTGATGATTCATAGGACATCCACGGGTATGTTGGTTGTCCTCCAATGTCTCTAGAAATGACCGGCAATGGTAATTATAAGCTTTGAAAGGCTTGGCCAGAAAAAGTAGAGTAAAAAAGAGAAAGATGAAACTTATGATTAAGATGTAGACTAGGGTTTTAGACAAGTATCCAACAAAAACACATGAATATATTAAAGTGAACTTCTCATCTTCCAAAAGGAAATGATGGCTATTTTTGAGTTTTTCCTCCTTAGGAGGTTGAATTTCTTGCCAGTTTTCATGGCATTTAGTCTTTTCATTTGATTCAAAGGGCAGGAAAGCAAATATAAAATATAAAATACAAAGCATTTTAAGGGGGAATATAAGAAACACTAGGATCATCACATTGTATTTTTGGCGCATGAATTATCTAAAACTTGGTGCAACACACATGGAATAAAAGGAAATGCTAGCTCTCACCTGGGCTAGACCGGAAAATGTTATCGAACTCGACATTTCTACTTATATTTTTCTAGCTCTCTCACACAGTGTGAGTTCTACATGGTTCCACTTCATCTTTCACAGTCGAAACAAAAAGACAAGAATTGGGTTTAAAAGCATTTTAAATTAAAAGAGCCAGTGCAATCGTTTGACAAACAAACCCCATAAGAATGTGACTGATGAATTAGAGAGAGAGAGAGAAAAAAAAATCCAAAAAGGAAAAGTTAATGCAGAAAGTATATATGCCCAGATGTTTCTTCTTCCGCTGAGCCTGAGGGGTCCCTGCCTAGCTGGCTGATCCTTGGTTTTCTGAGGGTTAATATCAAACTGAGTTGCCTTATGGCTGAATTAATATCTCTGCTAAACTCATGCTGATGTTCTTGAGTTGGACATATTCGACCTAAAAACTAGTCCTTTAAGCAAAGTTTTGTTTATCGTGCATGAAAACGAAGTGGATAAACATCTGAAATCACAAATCTAAACACCAATTGGCAAAATATATGTATATGACTGTGAAGTTTGCTTTATCATCCTCTCTTTACCTAGAACTGAAATTGGGCAGCTTCCCAAAACCGTCCCCCCACCCACACAGAGTTTTCCTACCTTTTTTTATCCCTTTGCTTTGGAAGGTCTAAATCATTTGCTTGTCTATTTCGTTCCTACACATACTCTCAATCTCAAAACCTATCTTCATTTTAAAGCTTCTTTTTTCTTTTTTTTTCAAAACCCTTCTAAGTTCTAACCACACCCCAAATGATAGAGCATGGCATGTACATGCAATGATAATATGGGACCCTTTTTTTTTGGAATGTTGTTCAAATTCACTTCGACCACAAAGATTCACCGATATATGAAAAAAGGTTTTCAAATGGGTGATTATGATAAAAGCTCATCGATCACATGGATCCCTCTTAATTATCTTAACTTTCTAAACCAACCCAAAAAAAATATATATCTGTTTTCAAGCCAAACGACAAAATTATGCTCCATGTTACAACTAGTTAACCCTTTTTACCCTTTTGTTAATTATATAACTTGCATTGTGATCAAAGTCAATTGACGACCTATATCAATTTCTCAACTTCTTATATCAAAAAGGTAACCATAGTTCTAATGAGACAACATAAGTCCCCTCCCCCACCCCAAAGGTAATATTTATTTACCCTCATCTTGACAGATGTGAGATTTAGGGCTTGTTTAAGACTGCTTCTCTAGAAAGTATTTATGCTCATAAGCGTTTCTAACAAAAGCACTTTTGTTATAAAAATCTTGAATTTGTTCATTAAAAAATATCCAAGTGATTCCTGGAAAAGTACTTGGAATGCTTCCTGAATAAACACATAACAATTGTTTCTCCAAGAATCGCTTCTATGACCCAAAAGTGCTTCTAAAGTATTGTAAGCAAAGCAAACAAGCAACTTCTTGACGGAATTAACGTCGGTACAGTTTTACCAATATATATCAAATCCTACAGCCAAAAGTGTGATGCTATTGCTACATAGATAGAGGATTAGGAAAGTTAACAAGACATGGGATAAAAAAAGGCATGTGCCTTACTTACTATTTAGCACCAAGGGGATCTGCTCCTTAATGCACCTAAAAAGGCATAAAGGAAACATAATAAGCGTTAAGTGGTCAAATTAGCCATCACAAAACGTCACTTAATTAGACACCAACGAGTAGGGAAGGGATAGATAAGGGTAATGGGTTTGAAGTGTAGTTGTTCTAGTCCTATTGTTTTCCCTCCTAAAAGATGAACCACTTTTGAGACGCATCATTTGCAACTTAATGATATTTGGGTTTGGTTGCGTATATATGTCTCATTCTTCAGAATTTGGGAAAGGTTTGGTAACAATATATATACTAATTAAGAAATTGAAATTAGAGAGCCCTCTAATTTTTGTTTAAGGGAACATTTATACCAAATGTGTCCTTCTAATCAAGCATATACCTCTGTATTTACATCTTAATTGAGTGGTGAACAAAGTTATTGTATTTTGTACATGATTGATACGTTTCGTCCACTTTATAAATTGTATTAGTTACGGACAATGTTGTTGAAAGAGATATATATTAGCCTTTAGGTCCAAATCTTTGACTTAGAGGGGTCTCACATGCTGATATCACACACTCACCTTCAAACCCTAATAATTCTGTTCTCCACTAATTAGAAAGTGTATGCTATTATAACTTATATGAAGAAAAAAAGGGCATACGAGAAAAGTTTATATTCACCAATTTAGAAAATAAAAGAGAAGATATAAATTAGGCAGATTGGCCAGGATAATTTAGGCAGATTGGCACGGACAATTTTTTCACCAAGTTAGCAAATAAAAGAGAAGATATAAATTAGGCAGATTAGCCGAGACAATTTTTTCCTTCTATTTGGTGAGTTCAATTATAACTAAAAATGATTAATTTAGTATAATATATTCACAAACTTACAAAGAGCAAGCAAATGACTAAAAATAAATAGAGAGGGGAGGTGAGGTGACTGAATGAGTTGTAGGACTGCAAGATCTGTGTTTTTTCCTTCTGCAGAAAGAATGAAAGTGGGGTCATTGTTTTACTCTCATTTACTCTTTATTCTCGAGTATGTTTTCAATTTTTCAATCATTATGTCATTGGAGCCCACTCGGTAACAAAATTTAATCTAGACTCTCTCCCCTCTCCCCTATTTAGACCGCTGTCTGCTTTGGTTTGGGCCACGCCGGCTTCTAGTATTTGTACATCGGCCACGGACGTTTCATTTTTGGGCCCTTTGCCATGTGCACAGACCTCACTATTTCTATTGTTTCTTTATTTACATAAAGAAATTGAATGGAACTTTTCAAGGTTGACCATGCTACTATTGAATGTGGTCCTCCCAGTCCTAACCCTGCATCTGTCCAGTGCTTAGCCACACCCTACTTAGAGAGATAAGAATAAGTGGTTACAATGAGGGGGTCTTTAATAACCGTTCGATTCGGTTCAAGGTTATTACTAAACTATTGGATTGTAATTCCTCAACACCGCGTCTCATTATAGAAACTCCCCACACTACCATATAAACCAAAGCAACACATGCATGAACTAATTAACAACAAAGTTTTTTGTGCTTACATTTAATTTAGGAGAAAAGGGTTTTCTTTTTTTCTTTTCTTTTTTTTAATTAAAAAAAAACAGAAAATGAATTCATGAAAAGCAACCCATTTAATCTAACAATACAAAAAAGCAAACTGAATCTTTGTTTGTTCTTTTGCATTTGTGTGGCAATTGCTGCATGGGGCTCTGGCGTCGGCCTTAAAATTTGGCACTAAGGGCCAACAGAAAACGCCACTGCCAGATTCCAGATTACAACGTTTTGGTAGTTTGTTTATTTCGAAACTCGTTAAGCATACATGTCTGTACAACTCCCAGAATTCGATTTATTTATCCAAAGTACAACATACAACAGTCACGTTGAACTTGCATAAATTGACAAAACTCTGAAAACCACCTGTTGATGGTTACTGTTCAATTTCTTGAATACAACAAAAACCACCCTTC